AGCCATGACGTGCTGCGTGTCAAGTTGGACGGACATGTGCGGCAGCCAAGACTGACAAGTGGCTGAAACACTTCTCGGGCCAAGAGCGCTGCAAGGCAAGCAAGGCAACTCACAACACAAATCAGTTGCAGGTCACGGTCAGCATGAAGCAATGACTCCGGATCGCCCTGCTTTGTGCGACGCCAGCAACCCCTAGACTGTCACAGCCCTTTTCGGGCGCATCCCCCAGAAGACCTTGGACCAACTGCGTGGCCAAGCGCGCTGCCAACTTGCTGGCAAGCGCCCCCATTGTTGCACACTCATCGATCGAGTGTACGGACACTTGGGCTTTTTCCGCCCGCACTTCAAAATTGGACCCTGAAGACTCAGCACGGGCTGCAATGCCCTGGCACAAAAAAAGCATCGACCCCACCTTGCGGGCTGCTGCTGGCGAGCCAGCGACCGCTGCAGCTTCTTTTGCTGCTTTTCACGCAGCGCCAAGCTGGCCGGGCATCCTGCGTTGGACCGCAGGGCATCCTGCACTTAGGCAGGGCATCTTGCACTTCAAGACCAAGAATCCTGTTCTTGAAGGCAAGGCATCCTGCGCTGTGGCGCCGCAGGGCATCCTGCAGCTCTAAGCGCGGCGTTGCAATTCATACGCATGCGCTAGGAAACTGGGAGACAAGCTGGGGGACGAACCGCGCGGAGGCGCGCAACGCAAAGCCTGCAAGGCATCCGCGCGCGCCCGCAGTTGCCAGAGAAACGGGGACACGGAGAAGTAAGGTCTCCGAGTCAGAACCCGACGGCCCGAGTCGGCCGCGGAGGCCACGTGTCAGACGGAAAGCGCCGTGTCAGACAACGACGGCCCGAGTCGGCCGCGTATGGGACGGCGGGCACGCCAGAAGAAGCGCGGACGCGGAGCTAACTTAGCAAAGTAAGGTCTCCGAGTCAGAACCTGACGGTCCGAGTCGGCCGTGGAGGCCACGTGTCGGACGGGAAGCGCTGTGTCAGACAACGACGGCCCATTGGGGGCAGTTCCTGAACGCGCTTCCGCAACCACGCGCGAGTGTTGTCTGACTCGCGCGTAGGCGTTGTCCGACTCGCGCGTTGGCGTTGTCTGACTCGTGTTGTCTGACTCGCGGGCCTGTTGTCTGACACGGTCTTCGCTCATGCAGCGAAACCCAATGCGGTTTGGTGGCCCCGTTTGGATCGCCCGTCGCTAGCCCTGTTGCCTCAAGCAAGGACATTTACCCGACTGGCACAAAGCTTTCGCGACGTCTCTGCCAGGTGGTGGTTCCTCGGAGCTCAGCTGTTCGTCGTGACCGGCGACTGCCTTGCAGCTCCCAACCTGTCGGCGCTGCTGACTGAGGCGCCGGATAGGCAATGGGAGGAACTAAGACGGGACTAAGTGGGCTCCTTCTCTGGGGTCTCTGCAAGTCAAAACTTGGACGGGGAAAACTATGGACCATTGGAGCATTGCAAGACATATATACATATATATATATATATATAAAAGCACAAGGCCTCGGGAGGCTATGGCAAACATGACAAGCAGCACGTCTGTTGTTCGCCTTCCAATTGAAGTTTATTTATGTGTTGTCCTGGCAGTCATTCATAGGGCTGGCTGAGTGGATGAACAGACAGACTCGGAGCAAGCAGGATCATAGGAAGCTTCGCTCATGGTAGGCCAGTCTTTCCGAACTCAACTTGAAATTGCAGAGTCCCAAAACGCTATACGGCACTTTGAACCCATAGGACATGTAAGCCACCTTGCATAGCCGCAGCGAATTGCAACGTTGAGGCAGCATGAAGCAATCGTGGGAGCGAACTCTGACGACTTGCAACCGACCCACTGACGCAGTCGTGCAGTCCTCACTTCTTGCACAATTGTATTGAGTTGTGAAGTCCTGAGCCAAGTTGGATCAGCTTCGAATAGATGTATCAGAATGAGAGTTTCCTTATTCTTGGCTGTTGTCTTATTCACTTCTCAGGAAGCTTCAATGTTCAACGCCAAAGTGCTTGAGGCAGAGCTGCAGGAGCTGTCCGCCTGAAATAGCTTCTGATTGCCTGTGTCGGCGTGGTAGTCGCATCACGCTCAGGTGGTGGGCAGGTCGTCCTATGGCACCTCGGCAATAACTGGCCCTTCCTGCGACCGACATTTGGGGCACTTGGAGTTTGACATAGGTCGGTTTGCTTGACCTTTCTTCGAGCCATGTGAGCAACCGTCAAAACTCGCAATGTCTAGAATATGTATTCGGCGGACATCCGCTTTCCAAAAGTGAAGAAAGTTGGGGGAAGCGATGGGGGCGTCCCAAAAGCGATGCCCTGCTCTTGTATGTATCAACTTTCACAGAGATGATATTGCTTGACTTACTTGGGCGCGGAGGTCCAGAGGAAAACCAAGCAGTGGCAGAAACCATCCATATTCGCAAGTCCCTCACAAAACGACCAACCCATATCAACACTTGACAGCTGTTGGTTGCTAGATTATGTGCCAGGTGGGGCATGGCTGTGCTTGAAGCCAGACCACCATGATAACATGTAAAAAGAAGACGCGCTGAAGCGATGCCGAAAGCGATGCCCAAAGCGATGCCCAAAGCGATGCCCAAAGCGATGCCCAAAGCGATGCCCAAAGGTCTTCATCATCATCATGTTGCCCAGTTGCCCAATTGGGTCCTGAACAACAATTGCCTTTGTTGGAAAGCCGTTGGTTTTGGTTTGCCATCCTGCAGCAGAACCTGCGCAACTCTGAGTCTCGGCCTGCAGCTCCGTGCAACAGCGCCCTTCAGCAGCATACTCAACAACACCCTGCAGCAGCACTCTGCAACAGCACCCTGCAACAGCACCCTGCAGTAGCGCCCTGCAGCAGCGCCCTGCAGCATTGATGCGCAAGCTGGTCGTGTATCAAGAAGACATCCAGGGGGGACCAATTAAGTTTAGTAGCGCAGGTTGGCTTGGAATCCAAGAAGCCGACTATTATGTTTGGAAGCCTTTTGACTCGGATAATTTGGGCAATGGGAATTGAACATACTCTGTGTAAGACAATGCCCTAAAAAACAATAATGCAAAAAACATGCGGGAAGCGATGAGGGGCGTCCCAAGTTGGCGGTGTCCACAGCGGGATACAAGGAGTTAGACAGCCGCACATGTATTGAGAGTATACGACTTCAAACAAACATGGCCCCCTGAGTGGAACAAAGGGCTTGGTGGGGGAGGGGGAAGGCAATGACTCATTGAGCATGAGGGGACCCAAGGGCCCGACCCGCGAGTGGTAGGACTTCATCCAGACAGTTATACCATTTTTTTTAAATACTTCCGACGCAGACCCTCCGGCGATACTGAATTGATCATATTTAAGTATGACATGATTGAGACACCATTTCTCATTTTTGCGCATACTTTCGCAGATTTTGCATATTTGTGTTTTGCATATTTGCGCTGAGGCATGGCACTGGGGACCTTGTCCACCTTCCAAGCAGCTGCCCGAGTCCTGGATGCGGTGCCCTTCGCGACCCTCTATGAGAGGGTCTCCCACTCGGTGGCCTTGCCGCAATGCCGTTGCTAGGACATGCCGCAAAGATCTGCTTTGCTTTGGGGTCAGCAATTTTTCAGTGGCTTATAGCGTGGAGGAAAGAGCTGAATCCACAGACTTGTTGCCAACTCGTTGCCTCCGGGCTGCTCAAGCTGAGCGCAACAGACTCGCAAGTGTTGTGCACAAAGCTTGAAACAAGGAAGTGCATCCGTCAAGGCTTGCGCCAACCCGAAGCATTTCTTCCCTCCTACTGGGTCATGCTCGAGACTAACTGTTCAACCTGATGATGATGATGATGATGATGATGATGATGATGATGATGATGAGACGACGACGACGACGACGACGACGATGATGATGATGATGATGATGATGATGATGATGATGATGATGAGATCACTCATCATAAGGCTGAGGGTAGGATGAACTCCTTGAGAGCACTGCTGAAGGACAAGGAGGAAAAACTGCCAGCACTTGCGCTGGTAGATCGCAACTTTCGAGCTGCAGCTACCAAGTGTATATCGCTTGTTGCGCTGTACTTAAAAGTTCTGCTTCTCGAGCTGGAGCTGCAACATGTATGAACCAATGTTCAGGCAAACAATTTGTGCACTGTTTGAAATGGGCCGAAGGAATCCAAAGCTGTCATCCAGATTGCTCCAAGCTACTGGAACAACGATTGCTTGATCTCCGCAAAACATAGAATGCACACCCTGAGTGGCGGTGCCTGTGAGAAGCTGTGGGCAAGCTGAAGCAGTCGGAACATTCTCGCGTGAGATGAGGCGCCTTTCATCACAGTGGCCGTCCTGGCGGTGGCCTCCGGTGCGCTGTGGTTTCTGGTCTATTGGCAGATGCAACTGCAGACGACAGAAGAAAACGGAGACGCATGAAGCCCGAGCCATGCTTATGCAGGCAGAGAATTCTCTGTGCAGGCCAAAAAGTGCTGTGCAGCAAGCGCAGACAAAGTGTCTGCCGAGAAAAGATGGTAAGTGCTGCTCTGGCCAGTGCAATGGTTTCTCCGTGCTTTCGCATGGCCATGACCTGCATGACCTGCCCTCCTAGTCACACGCCAGTTGAGATCGCACTGACACTCCCCACTCCCTCCGGCCACTTGGGCGGAGGCTGACGCTACAGGGCAGGCGCAAGGCAGGAAGAGGGGGGGATGCATCGATGTCCTTCCAAGGATCCATGTTCGAAGGTGGCAATCTCGGAATCTGTCAAGCTCGAGGTCTCATAATATGTTTGCCAATTGACATATTTGGGCCCAAGCACGCAAGGAACCTTCGGCAAGTGCCAATGCTTTACAGCAGGACAGCAGAGCGAACATCACGTAAGTAGCAACAAACAGGACTTTTCTGAACACTGAGCCCTGAATTTTCCGTTACGTTGAGTCAATGCTGTGCAGACAGTTTGGCCTTCCATGACGTTTTCCATATGCTCTTGCCCAGTCAACTCAGCTCTTACCACTTCCCCAACAAGCAGAGGCTGTTTAGGCAAAGCGAGGTGTGGACGGCGCAGTTAGACCGGTCCACGCGGCTTCGGCCATGTGGAGCCGAAGATGCCGTGTGCTAGCAGCCTCTGGGAGTCTCCTCGGGACGTGCCTGCTCACGGAGACTCCGCTGATCCCAAAGCTCCCCGTCAAACCTCTCTTGCTGGAGACAAAGGCGCCCCATGTGGCTTGGTGCAGAGGGTGAGAGCCGTCCGTTTGACCGGGGTTCACTTTTTGCAGACGAATCTGTTATGCATGTCGCCTCGCATGTTGAGTGCTGCTAGATTTTTGTGATGCCACTCACCATAAGGAGCAATAAGATGCTGGCGGGGCTTTCAATGACTTATTTTAGATGCCTTTTCTTTTTGCAGAAGCAAGCCTCTCTCAATTGGCGCGAGAAACTTTCTACAGAGGCCAACAAAGCAGCCACTTCTATGCTGAGAGCGCAAATGCCACTTTCACTTTCCCTTTGAGGCAGGCAGATCGTTACCGTTTTAGCGCCCAACCTGGATTGCTCAGGTTGAACAGGCGCGGACGCAGGACTGCCGACGTTACCGGTTCTATTTCCGCCCCTGTGGAGAGAGCTCTGGAAAGCCAGTAACAGCCTTTTGGTGCCTGGTGAGGTATGGCGCTCACATACACAAACACACACGAGGGTTGCAGATCTGCAGTGCTTTGTTCGGATATGAGCAGCATATTGGCAGCAGCAAGGGGTTCCCTGCCCACTGTCAAAGTCGTTCCCCAAAGTGTTGCATCTTGGCAGGACATCGCAGCAACGCAGTGGCTCAAGCTGCAAACCTTAACTTACCGCACCTTGGCCAGCACTTCTCTGTTGTTTTGTCTTACCAATGGACTCCATCTCTTTTTTTCTTCTTCATAGTGCCTGGCACACAGAGCCACACCTTGAGACAATCCAGATCATCAGGATCTTGTGGTGTGGGCACCTGCGCGATGACCTGAGGTGATCAGACAGGCCACGAGAGAAAGTGGGATCTGGTGACCCGCACCACCCGCACTGACCGCGCCGGTGTGGATGCGGTCATCATCTTGCCGCTGCTCCGGTCATCGAAGACGCTCGGCACACTTGGGGTACACTTAGCTGGAGCTGGCCCAAATGAGAACAGCAACAAAGCGGCGGTGAATGACCCGTTTGTTTGGTTTTTGATATGATTCCAAGGAGCCCTCCAATTACTCGAGCATTCCCGAGAGATGCCCGAAGGGTTTTGCTCGCAGGAAGAGCGAGGTGGATGTGCTCTTGGTGCAGCAATTCCGCCCGCCGGTGGCCGGGTACACCGTGGAGCTCCCTGCGGGCTTGATCGACGCCGGGGAGAGCTCGGATCAGGCGGGGCCCGGCGACCGCGGGCGAGCCTCGAGAATCCCCCCGTCCAAAAGCGTAGGCGTATCAGGCGTATCAGGCGTCCTTAGGCGTATCAGGCGTGACAGGCCTTCACAAGCGCAGTCCAGCCTTTGGGAAAGTCGCAGGCGGCTGTCCGTGAGTTGAAGGAGGAGACTGGGTACACTGGGCGCGTGCTGCGCACCTCTGGCCCCCTGACGATGTCGCCGGGGCTGAGCGACGAGACAGTCAAGCTGGTTGTTGTGGAGGTGGACTTGGACATACCCGAGTCTTGGCCTCAACGGGAAGTTGGGTGGCTGCTTGGGCAGGATCAAAACAAAGGTGTCAACCGGAGAGGTGGATTCTAGTGGTAACTTGTTTCAGCTGGTGTCTCCAAATGTCAAAGAAGTAAGAGGGTCCTGGCGAGTAAAATGAGGAGGTCCGCTACGTCCAGATTCAGCATCGGTCGATCGCACGCACGCGCGCGTGGGTGGCTCCCTCTGTTCGATCAGGAGAACCGGCAGCCCAAGCCACAGCCCGAGGAGGGCGAATTCATTCAGGTGATGCGAGTCCCCCTGAAGTCGCTTTCGCAAGAGCTGACCAAGCTGCAGAAGCGGGGCGTTATGCCGATCTCAGGCGGAGTAAAGTGAGGGGCGAGAGGAACGTTGTCGGGCTTGCTTGGCTGCCACTCCATTTTGGAATCTTGATTTGCAACCGCACATCTTTAGACTAGCCAGCTAGCGATCCACCTATGAACACCACAATCACTCAGCCCCGATTTCATTTGCAGTTGTAGTCCCAATGGAATTTTATGCAGCATCCAATCACCAACAAGCCGTTGTTGGGCAAAAGCGATACTGCCTTGGGCTCTGACTGTCTTTCAATCGCACCAACCCTTCGGCCAAGAGCGAATTCGCGAAAGGGATGTCTCAATGGTGTTGAGAGAAGACAGGAACAGAGTTTGTGGTTGTGGACTCCATTGGTGTTGCTTGTGTTTAGCGACAGCTACATTAGTCATTTAGTTTGCCCCATGGAGCTGGGCTTGGAGAGCCGAATCCAGGCTTGTTCACCTTGGCAGAGGGCCTGGACTTGGCCTTAAGCCTGAAGGCTGGTCTTGCGAAAAAAGAGTTCACTTGCGCCGTTGCGGAGTGTATTTAATATCCACTTGTAGCCTAGCGAGTCGCCCATTGGGCATGGCTTTTGGTGTGATGCCTTGCGACCAACATCTAACTTGTAATTAGGCGCCAAGACTCGTTTCGGTGCGCTGACCGCACAGTTTTGTTGCGCGAAGGTTTGAGCCAAGCTTGGAGCTCGGGAAGCCTGATGCGAAGCTGGGAGACGCGAAGCTGAGTCGCACGTGCCTGAGTGGCCGGCAAGGTGGAGACTTGAGCCAATTGAGCGGGCATGGATTCATACTTCACACATGTACTTCGTGGGTTTTGCTTTGGTTGACTGGTTCTCAATTCAGAAGGGGTACTGAAGTCCAGTATGTGCGCCACCTCACCAAGGTGTTCGTGTCTCTCTTCTCTCTTTCTCACAGAGAGAGAGACCGCACTAATCTGCCGTTCCAGCATGCTCAAGCACAGAGTTGCGGCATGCACAGCAAATACCACCCGACCTTTTTGACACACACACAGACACACACACACACATCCTGACGTTCTGAAGCCGCACGGAATCCTGTCGCGGGAAAGAGCGCAAGCGCGCAAGAGCTGAGTGGAGGTGCCCCCGGATAACTATGCCCATGGGAGAAACATCCGTGTATACGGTATCAGGGGGGCTGGAGGAGTCCGGGAACAACAAATAAAGCACACATTGAAAGGGTGAAACTGTTGGAGGATTCGAGGATGACTAGATTGGTCTGAATGGACTTGCACGCGGCAGTTGCACCAGGCCAGACCTTCGCCAGGCCCGGGATTTGCCAGGCAGTGAGTCTTCCCTTGCCAGTCGTTGCCGTTGGAGTAGGCACGTGGGGTCAAACAAAATGGAGGCAGGCGTGACTCAAAGAGAAAGTGGCCGGACCACAGGAGGTTGCTGCGAACGACACCACGACCCACAACCGGCACAAACAATGCCAGGAAAAGAGTGAAACAGTGAAACATAGTGAAACCCTTTTGTTCAGTGACCTTCAGTGACTTCGACCAGGAAACATGTGGTTCTGCGGGTCCCTTGTCCAGCCTTTCCTTTCAAGGGGTACATATGATTGGTGTTTTGCCAGGTTGCACCCACTCTGTCTTGGGTGCCGTGAAGTGATCAGTCGGGGTAAGGAGATAGGGGTGGCAGGTCTTCTTTCGCCACAAGACCTAAGACGGTTGAGAGGTTTCACAATGGCGGGCACAACAAATGCTATTCGTTGAATTCCTGAGAGCTTTCCACGGAGGAGGGGCATTACGCTGAGCCTGGCCAAGACGAGTGGTTTGGAACTCAGGTGGCCGGCCAAAGCAGATGTGCGGAATTGCTCCACCTCCAAGCTGTGCAACAAACTCTCCGATCGGAGCACAGCTCTGACTAACTCCTTTGCCCGCGCTCAGATCATCTCGAGAAGAGTTTCCATTGCGTGCCATGGAGTGAGGCGCCTCATGCTGTTTCACCAGAGTGGTGTCAAGTAGACTCGCAGAAAAGGAGGCCTTCTGGAAGGCCGAATTCTGCGACGTAGAATATTCCTCAGTGTCGCAGTATTGAAGAGTAGTTGAATTGCAAGGGGCACACTTGCATGGCCTTGCCACCTTTGGCTCCAAGCTTGTCGTTTGCGCGTTTCAGGCACCCAAACAACACCAGGGGCACTCTAGAGCCTGCTTAGGAAAAACGCAAGCCCTGGTCAGAGGAACTGATTGCTCGTTGGTTTGTTGGTGCGTTGATCAACCCTTATAACATTCGACAAGTGTCAACCACAATGAAAATCTGCTTAGAGAACCATGACCATACCCTCCAAGCAGTTTGATGGCTTGCATGTTTTCCCTCAATATAGTTCTTGACTCTGTCTACATAGTTCTTGACAACTTCTGACTTGGCAATGAGACAGCGAGAGGAGCTTTTGCCACTTGCCATGTGAACTGGGCCATTGGAACACTTGGACTGGAGACCCTTTTTGGTCGTACTCTGAGAAAACCGGATGGCAACCATTTGCCAAGTGACCGAGCAATTGGTTTCACATGACAAGACATACTTGCATACTCATTGCACTGCAGTCGGGCAACATGTCACTGCGAGTTGTGAATGTCGGCATGTCCGTAGACTCAGCAGATGTGGGAATGGAATGGACTGTCCTCGTGGCGTTGCCAATCCAGGTCAATGGTGCTGGTTCAACGCTTTACTGCAGGCCTTAGCAAGCATCAACGACCCTCGATGGTGGAACATTTTGCGCTTTGCATCCGAGGTCGACACAGATGGTGCATACAAAGATACTCTGGCGTGCTTATCTGGAGTGCTGCTGTACCTGAACCGAGAGTCAGACTCAGCTGCGGTGCATGACTTGGCTATCGCCATCCAATCAGAATGCGGGATCTCATCGTGTAGCGGCGAGCAGCAAGATGCGCACGAGGCCCTGGTTCAGCTCTTGGAAGCGCTGCACCATGGCCTGCTGCGCCGCCAGCAAGCCGCGTTTCGGTGGCCTCTGTGGCTGTGGGGGGCTGGCACAAAGATGTCTCGCGCCACGCAGGCGCTGCGAGACTTTCAAGAGCTGTGGCAAGGTGTTCTGGAGGAGCGGCGGGTGTGCATGAGTTGTGGCCTGGTGCGTGTGGAGTCCTCGCCCACGAAGCAGGCTTTCCGGTGCCTGTCGCTGGACTTGATGCGCATGGATCAGCCGCACTTGTCCAGTGTGGAGCTCACAAACTTGCTGAGTGCGCACGGCAAGCCGGAAGAGATCGAGGGCTTGATCTGCAGCCGTTGCTCCCTGGCGGCTTCCCAGCGCAGTTGCGCGCAGGAGGCCTTGCGGGGCTCGCTGCTGGCCGGCCAGGCCTGCGCTCGGCTGTCAGGTTTCGCCGAGGCCAAGTCGGACCCCGACGTGGAGGCGCTGGAGGTTCTGCGTTTGGCGGGCACCCCTTTGACGATGCAGCGCACCACGCACCTGCGGCGCTTCCTCATCAAAACGGCGCCGCAGATCTTCAGCTTCCACCTGCGGCGCCTGGTCTTCGGCCCCTTCGGTCTGGTGAAGCTGCCCAACGTGGTGCGCTACCCCCCAGTGCTGAAAACCAGCGAAACCTACGCCTTGGCCGCGGTGGTGTCGCACCTGGGCCCGGCCACGGAGGGGCACTTTGTGACCCACCGCGCCTGGAACCGGACCAACCGAAGCTTTTTGGAAGTGCCGGCTGTGCCAGCTGTGCCCTTGGACGTGGCGGGCCAAGTCAAGCCTTGGCCAGGCTCTGAGTGGGGACAAACATCGTGGATTCAACAAGCGGCAGAACGGACTCATTTCTGGATTCTCAGTATTTAGAGCATGTGGATTGAGGGTCGATTCGGGGCACCACCGCAAGGTAGCCTCAAGTAGTCTCTTCGCCTGCCAAGAAGTGATATGAGCTTGAGTGATCAGCTGTGGGTGGGGTCCACGGTTTGGAATGGAATGAATGGAGATTTCTTGAATTCTTGAAATGCTTCGGCGGGAAAGTATTTGACATTTTGCTTGGAGCAGGAAGACCCATGTTTCTCCCCCAGGTCGCCAGTGGCTGCCAGCCTCGGGTTCTTGCGGCCTGGCAGAGGTGCCGAGCGTGTGGGAAAGTCGAACGCCCAGCAACCATGAACTGATATGCGTTTCTTTTGCCTGTTCCTGTGTTCGCCTCTCTCTGCCTGATTCTTGCCACGTGGTAACGTAGAAAGCGCCCTTTTGGCGTGCCCGCGCTTGGGCAACACAGTTTTGCGTGACTTCGCGCCTGGAGATGTGCAGTTGAACACAGCTGCCAATGGTACGTTGTCAAGTTGTCATTTAGGATGAACGACAACTGAGACTCCCAAGATGGTGTCAAGGAGGCCCAAAGAAGCTCAGCACTTGTCAAAAGCTGGGATCTGAGATTGATGACGTGACCCCATTGTTGAGGGGTGTTGTTCGCTTTATCCAAACTGCCATCCTGCATTGCCCGAGTCTTGCTCCCTGCACGCACCACTTCACAAGCAGTCTCTGCAGTATTGGCAAGACACGTCTACTGGCCGCCCATGTTTGGCATGAACAGCCGAGCCTTGGAATGTTTTCCATCAATGCGCGCAGGCATGTTTGCGCGCACGCTCCAGTCAGCTGCTCAGTACAGAGACCTGATGCTAGGATGAATCTGACAGGGGAGCATCAGCATATTCTGAAGTGTGCTGAAATGGCTACATCCGGGCTTGGCTACAGCCAGTAGCCACAAGGCGTCACATGTAGAGTGCACTTGCAGAGGCAGGAAGCTACCCGGGTTTGGGCGACGCTCCCAGTCGATCCAGAATTGCTTGCCTCGCTTGCTGCGGCAGATGCGGGTGAGACTTCGTCCACATGTGTCCACGCGCAGCAAGGAGTTCAAGGGGCTTAGATGAGCAAGAGGACAGGATCCGGAGCTTGCCATACGTGGCATACTCTTATCAGAGACAAGCATACGTGCCTTTGGGGAAGACATGCAATGGGAACCTGGGATTAGCCTTGTCGAAGGCGAGGGTGCAACTATTGGTCCCACTTTAAAGGTTTCGCCGCATACGTTTTGGTCACTCGCTCAATGGGTGCGGCACTGGTGGTCCTTGCACTTCACCTTGCCGTGAACGTGAGCGCGGAGGACGCATGCGCCGCAGGCGAAGCATGCAGTGGCTTGGTACATCGCAAAAGAGTTCGAGACCTGGACGGGCTTGTGATTCACGGAGTTAAATTTGGGTACGTAAGCATGTGTGTATTGTCTTTCCTGTTTCATTTGTTGGTTTATTATTGCATTCCCACAAAGCTCTGGCTGGTTCCTGGTGTATGATGATTCTTTCTCATTCAGGCTGCAATAAATGCGTCCGCCCCAAAGACTGATTGCAATTGCAATCACAGAACAACTCTGCATGATGCTCCATGTCAACTATAGTTGTGCATGCTGTGCATGCACTTATGACACACCGCAACCCTAGCTGTAGATTGTTTATCATTGTGTGTTCTCACTCCCGGCGTGGCTTTTGACCAGTGATGACTTCGTGACTGGCTGCGTCGGCAGCATGATCTTGTTGTTTCAATGGCAGCTACCGATGTGAGCCTTCCCATCAACTTAGACGAACAAGCAAAGAGGGAAGTTTATAAGTTTATATCATGGCGCTGGCCTATCTCCCTCGTACAGGATCAACCATTCAGCCACGGACATCCAACGACCCAGCACTCCAGTGAGCAGAGCTATATCAGAAGTGTCCCATGCAATGCAGGCAAACTGAACAGCCCGGTGTCTCGGGGGAGTCCTGAGGTCCAGCGGCAATTTTTATCCCATCCAGCTTCGGGCCAAGAGGACTCAAAGTTGGGCCACCCTTTGAGGGACTTGTTTGAAGTTGCGTGTGACATCTGAAACAATTGCGCCCGCGCTGAGGTTCGAGCTTGAGTTTCGACACGCCTTGCCGCTGCTTGGCTTCATAATTCTCAATGACATGCTCATGAGTGGTTGGTCCTCGGTGCTGTATCTCATCTCTCAGGTCATTGCTGTCATGCTTCCATCTGCTTTCTTGCTGCATGCCATCCCTGGATCCTGGAAGTGGGTGGCCCTGTTCCTGAAAGCCACGTCACTGGTTTCAAAGTGCTTTAATCGTTTGGGGGTGGCTCCAGAAATGGCCGAGATGCAAGTCTGGGGTGGTTCATTGGAACAGATCCTTTCCAGAAGTCGGAGTTAGACAAAATCCCGTCTCATGCTTCCAAGCTTTTCCTGCATGCTACGCAATCTCGCAGGTCTGGTTTTAGTCTTGCCTCGTCCAAGGTGATGTTCTCGAGGTCTTGCCCCCTGGCACCCCGAAGCTGTGGAGCCGCACACGGCCAGCAGCTGCCCGGCTGAGAGTTGTAGCCTGTATTTGAACGCAAAAGAAGGACGCATAGATGGGTTTCCACTCACATGACTCACATGTCGGAGCCTTTGCTTTTCATGTGAACCAGCGATCCAGTTTTGATCTCCACACCGCGCCCCGCGCCCCCCCGGCGGGTTGACAGTTGGCCTCAGGTGATCTCCGGCGCGGTGGCGGACGCAGCTTGGGACCTGCGCGCGTTTAGCTTCGAGGCCCGGCCTCGCGACTTTGAAAACCGAAGGCGGCGCACAAGGAAGACTCGGAAGACTCTTGCTCGGATGCTCGGCTTATGGCCCAAGCCTTGAAGGCGTGTGGCAGGTTTGCAAGGTCAGCTGTTTCGCGAGGCCATGAAGGTGGACTTTGGCGAGACGAGCCTTGGCGAATAAGGCAGTGGGAATCTCATTCGGTCCATATTCTTTTCAAATTGACGCTCAGCCAAAATGTTGTCAAGGTTTTGACTGCAATAAGACAGTCTCAATTTTGAACACAAAGGGAGCTGCAGTGTTTATTGCACTGAGCTGGTCTAGCTGATCAGCTCAGAAGGGTGGTTGTGGACGAGTTCCTGCAAATATGCCAGTTTTTCAACGATGCGGAACAACCCGGCTCAAAGTCCAACCTGGTCCATGCTGCAACAACCAGTTGCAAATGTAGTAGATTCATGTTTTGGCACAAGATTCACCATAGGTTCAGAAGGCTGCCAGCCCAGCTTGAGCCATGCTTTCGCAGACGGACGCCGTGCCGCCACTTTCACCTTTGGCTGCAGCGCATGCACGCCGAGATTCAGCCAAGATTCTAATACCTGCCACTCCTTGTCGAGAGTCAGCAGTTTCACCACTATCCCTGGCACACAGCCGGCAACCGGATGCCCCCCCGACGGTCAGCAAGAGCGAAGAGTCCGGGAGGTGCACCTTGTCTCCGATGTCCAGAGCCCACTGCGGACGAAGGAGCAGCGAGAGCGAGACGCGTGGGACGCGCGACAGAGTGCAGAGCCTCGCCAGTCACGAGCAAGAAGTCATGTCTCCACTGTCTAAATGCCACAGCCAGAAGCCAGAGCGCAGGGATGACAGGGATGATGTAAGGACAAGCAGCCTGCCCCATGACTGCACGCCACTGTCCCTTGCACACAGCAAGGAGGGCGCTGTGCATAAGTTCTTTCACTAGGCCTGGGAATTGGTTCCGGGCTTGCCAGATGCGCAATCCTGGTTCATGCCACGCTCGGCACAGCATGAGCGTTTTTGCAGCTGAAGGCCTTTCTGGCCATCAGTTGCCTCTCCATTGCCCTCGGTGTCCGAATGTGTACCTAGAGTGCCTCATAGGATTCAGCCTTTGGGACCTGAGAGTGCGCATGTGTTCGAGACTGCAAATAGGTTGTAGCAGGTAGCATCCTAGCTGCAGTGATTTGGAAAGCTCGTGCGACGTCACGTTGCGGTTGCACGTCGCAGAGTGACGCTTGCAATTGCATTGCTCGTATGTTTGGCTTGCTGTTTCGTCTACAAAAGTCCAAAAGCTGATGGAGAGAAGAAAGAGCATACTTTCTGGCCAGCTTCCAAAGGAGCCCAAAAGAGGATGGAATGTGCAAATTCAGAGCCCGGCCGAGGTTGCTCAAGGTCTTCAGCCCCGCCCAGGCGGCGTTGCTTGACGGGCAGACCTCGAGGGTGCTGCCGCTGAGGCCGGGCGCCATGAGTTCCCAATGTGCTCCGTGCGTTCGCAAACGCCAAGACTGATTTATTGCCAGGCCCTCTGTTTTTGCCGCAAACAGATTCTACACTCTGCGGAGCATTCAGCCAGCCCGCCAGGCGAATCATCTCAAAGTTGGATGATGAGCAGCTGGGTGCCCAGCTGGCTTGAAGCGCGAAGCAGTCGATTGCACCCCTCAAAATCAACACTCAAGGCGCAAAAAGGAGCATTCAATCAACACTCGCACCCGCATCAGTACTCCTAGCCAAGTAGGCGGCCTCGGGTACGATGCATTTAATTGGTTTGCGTGCCTCCGCACGGGGATTTCAGGAAGATCTATGTCTTTGACAAGGAGTTCTTCCAAAATGTCTCCGCCAAGGAGCTTGCACCAATACCAGAGTCTTGGCGGCACACTATGCCGTTGAGCAGGGATCACAGGCATCAAGCTTTGGCACCAGAACATAGTAATACAACTAGGGACTAGCAGATTTCGTTCCCAGGGAAGACATCTAGAAACTTCAGCACTTACACCGTTTTCTGAGTGTTGCCACCCAAGGGTTGGCTGAAGATGTCAGACGCAGTGGCGTTCCTGACCTTGGGCGGCCCTTTGTCTGGCACGCAATTCCATGCACATGGGACTGCCTTCCTCCTGCTGGTCGCCGGGAAGAAGCGCTGCTCAGGCAGCATGCAGCTGAAAGCTGGATAAAGCTAGTGCAGCTAGGGCAGCTAGTGTGCGCGGTCGCAAGATTTGTATGCTTTGAATGCGAAGCTTGCAGCTTGCAGCTTGCACACCGTGCTTAGCCGCCGTGCTTGATTGTGCTTTGATGTCGAGACCTGTGTTTTATTGAGTTCTCCAAGGTTGGTATTTGCACGAGCCGGGCCAGTTTCCAAATGCTTCTGCACGAGCCTTGCACCTTCCGGTGAGTGCCTTTGAGAAGGATGTGCTGCCGTCTTTGGAATCTGCGCCACTCGGGTGCGTGCAGCATGCTGGTGACGCCATCCTGGTTCCTGATGGTTGGGCTCATGCCACCATCAATGTTGAGGAGAGCCTTGGTCAGAAGTCCTGGTAGGCAAGTCAGAGCATGCCTAGGAGTCGTTTACTTGCCTGGCCAGCTCTAACGGCTCAGGACACTGGGTGTGGCATGGCAGCGCACTACATCTCTGATCAAAACATGCGAGCACGGGCATGACTACTGGTGCCTTGGGCAGTCCTTCGTGTCGGCCGAGAAGCTCCTCGCTTGCGTTGGGGGGAGGAATGCCAGGCAACCGGAGGGACATCAAAAGCACGGCCCCTTCCCAGGTCTTCTGAGGTGAGCAGCATTTTGTCACGCCAAGGCTGAGCCTGAAGAAGCAGCCCCAGCGTTACAAGGATCGGCTGCGGGCGAGAACTGTCGGGGGCCAAGGGAAAGGCAGTGAGGATCCATCTTTGACACTTTTTCACGGCAATTTCACAGTGGGTCGGACCTTGTGGAAGGAAGCCCCCGCTCCCCTTATCGAAAGCGACGTGTCGCTCGCAATTTCATTGCACCTGAGATTCCAGGTGATGCACACTGCACACCTGGTTCCTTCCCTTCAGTTTATAGCTTCGATGATCCCAGTTGTAGAGCATGACATGCAGCAGGTATCTATTGCTGCCAGCCAGGAGCTCTTTGCTGAAGCCAACGAGCTCACCGGGGACTTCCCCATCGGCTTCATCAGAAGCTAAGCCCAGAAAGCTAGGCTTGGATACGTAGAGGAATGATCTTCAGAGGCCTGTTGTCAAAGCGCTTCTTTTCCATGATCGTCTTTGCCCTCGAGCGGCGTCCTAAGCATCACTTGCTTGTAGTTCATCCAAATGGAAACCCAAGAAAGCTAATTCAATCCCAACCTGAACAAAACCCGAAGGAAATTGAACAGACCCCATTCAGGACACCTGGGGCCATACTGGCAAGTCTCTACCGAGGCGAAGGACTGCCTGTCGGACATAGGATAGCCACCGTTTCATGTGAAGCTTGCTCCAAGTGGGAATGCCCTGTTTTGAACTGTTTTGTGACCTTGAGAAAGCGGCGCTAGGGTCCTAAATTGGCACACTTTCATTTTAAAAAAACATCGTTCAGTTTCCTTTGTTTCGAGCTCAAATGAGAGTGGGAAGGCGGCTATTTTTTGGGACCACCTATTGAAACGCCTTGATTCGATGTTTTTTAGCTCCTTGGGCTGCTTATCTCCCCACAAAATCAGCTTTGGATTAATTGGGAGGAGAAGACTAATCAGGGAATCTCCCTGAAATGATTCCCCAGTGAAAGGTACCAGAGGTACTGGGTTTCCGCCGTTGCTTCAGCCTTGGGCGAGTCTTCTCCTCTCCTGAAGAAAGCATGACATCACACACACACACAATGTGTTGGTTTTGGCAAGTGAAACATGGTGCAGCTTGGCAACGCTCGTCCCGTGAATTGCTGGTGCCCGTCCATTCGGCCCGTTGTTTGGGGACAGGGACCATTCGGCAGGACATCTTCAAAGCCGTCCGCTCAAAAGTGCTGCAACTGCTGAAGGCTCGCAGCTCAGGAGAGTGACAATCAATGTTCAGCTCCATTGGCAGATTGGCTCCACTTGGGGGTTGATCAAAAGGTACTTTGCGTGGGATAACCATTGACTGAGGAAAATCACCAAGAAGATGACTTCCCACCAAGTGGGAAGACAAAACCATGGTCATTTGAGGGCCAGGAATATTGATCAGTCCTCACGTTTGTGAGCTATTTTGCTTGTTTCTTGTTTTCTATGCCCCTTGCCTGGCTGGATCTCAAGTGACCCCCATTCGGAAGGTCTCAATCCTGCATGTGCCAGCGTGTGTTCATGAAATTCCAGTCAGCAAGAAGTCATCACCAGTGTGACCAGTTCACTTGGGCTTGGTTGCTCGGTGGGTTGGTGGGTCGTGAGTCGGTGGGTTGGTTGGCTATGCGAAGCGCTCGCCCGAGCACCCGAGCGCCCGAGCGCACGCAGGCCTCCAAGCGGCACTCGGATGAGGCGCTGCTGGCGGCTGCGCTGGTGAAGCGCCTGGCAGACGTGCTGATGGGTACGCGAAAGGATGTGACGCGGCCAAGGGGGAGGGGAGGGAGGGAGGAGGAAAGCCAACGAAGCCAAGGGCTTGTTCAAACTAGCAAAACCGTTGAGATGGATGGTTTGAGGGATCACTCGGAAGCAGGGTGCATAAGGCATTTTCGTGTTTGGGGAGGGCGTGCTTCTCAGGTTAGACAAGAGCCGACTCTCCTTGTTCCAAAGGATTGGTCGTTGCAAGCGAGAACTTATGAATATCTCAATATCTCAAGAATTGAAGCAAGACATTTGATGAGCAGGGCGGCATGTCTCCAGACGAAGCCGCTCGAGGCAAAGCGCGCCTCTGACTTGCTTGCAGTGGCCCAGAAGAAAGCTCCTGAAGCAGGACAAGGCAACCGCTCGCTTGTGGGAGGCACCTGAAGTCCAGCAGTTCTGCATGACCTCATATTGACACATGATACCCGCCAGGTTCAACAACTAAGAGCTTCACTATAGTAAGTTTAGGCTTGTACATGTTGCCACCTCCGTCCATGTGCCGCTGGCTACGGTTACCTCTCACTGAGTTCAAATCACGTGAGAACATTGCGTTAGATACAATTAACAATAGTCACAAAGAATCAGTCTTGCTTGCGCTGGCAGTGAATAATCAAGGCCGTTGTTTCAAGAAAGTGGTTGTCCAGCGTGGTGCCACATGTCTTGGCCAGGCTGGTGCTCCTGCCAGAGGGACGCAATGCCTTGCCCATTCAAACCAATCCGAAAGGATCCTATAGTCAAAGCTTGGGATAAGCAGAGGCCACCCGTGTTGTGGCTGTGTTTTAGTGAAAAATCACGGACCCACGCGGTTTCCAGGTCGGGTGCCCCTGAATCCCCACCGCCCTTTGGACAGAAGCACGCCACAACCTCTCCGACCGCGAGGTCTTGCTCTGGCACGGCTCCTGGGGCAGCAGTTCCGTTGGAAGGCAGGGATTCCGTCGGATGAAGAAAGCAGGGTGTGTATTTTTGGAAGGTAATTATACACTTTTTGGGTGGTTGTTGCGTGAAAATGAAAGAGTTTCACAAACACAGACACATAATTCTAGACGCTTCGCGTTGCCTGGCTCACGGGTGGGCTCTTGTGCGCATTGTCTCGGGGCTAGCCTGAAGTTGTCTGTGTTTCGGCTAGGTCCTAGGGCCAGGCTTGAGAACTCGGAGGCCATTTGAGAGATTCACACGCCCATCATCCCTATGTCTTCGCAAGGAGGCGGCAGAAGCTCTGGCGGTCCATGCGAGCTACTTCCCAGAGGATCGGGGAGCCGCAGCTTGGCGAAGAGCCCTCCCCATTTTTGATTTTGAGACCTAAATCATCCTGTAAGCATGCGAATGGAACCAGACATCAACGGGTTTCGGGCGCTGCTCAGCTCTCCTTGATATTTTTGCCCTTCGTGCCAACAAGCCGACGCCAACATCAGCGCGATAGCATGCTGCCAGGGCGCCTCGCCTGAGGCGCTGATGCTGGAGCAGGCCACGAACTTCGCACGGAAGGCCCAGATGGAGCAAAGTGCGGCCCCTCCGCGCTGAGACAGGAGAAAAGGAGCACAAGATGGAAAGAAAAGGGAGTGCAGCTCACAGCTTTCCAATTCTGAAAAGTGCTGCTCTAATTGCAACTCACATCTCGCTTTTGCGCATCGGTCATGCAAGGTCTGCGCCAATGATGATGATGTCTGCGAAGCTCCGTCATGGCAGGCGGGACGATCGCAGAGTGCAAGGAACAAACCTCTTTTTTCTGAGATAATAATGTATTTGCTTGCCCGTACAATGAATTATCATCCCGGAAGAGAACTGCCTCGTGCCTGAGGTTCTAAAGGAAAGCGGTGTTTGGGAGGTGCATGCTGGCACTCTGCTCTCGGCAATTCAGACCTCAGAGCTGGAGTGTGAGAGGGGTTGCATCATTGTCAATCCTTGATGCTTCAGTTGTCGCACATTTGCTGTCCTTCGCTGTGTTGGTTGAGTGTAGATGTGCAATAGCAACACCCGGGGGTATGAAAAGAGCTAGTATTGGAAAATCTATTCTCACCTGGGTTGGCCACTCAACATGATGCCTTTTTTTTTCGTGGATGGAGAGGGGCGTTTTGATTCCAATCGGCGTTTGGCGGTTGCCAACGAAAAGGAATGTGGTAGGCAGTTGGGCTAACCCATGAATCACCTTAAGTGTATTCAAAGTAGTGTTTGCGCGGAAATGATGGCGACTTGAATTGGAGGTTCCTGATCCTGGGGTCGACATTGCCCCAAGATGATAAAATGCACTCCCACAACCAGAAGGCTGTCGGACCCTGTACCAGAAGCCAGCGAGATGCAGGCCTTGCACCTACCTGCAGCATACATCTTCTTCTATGAGCTGGATGCCCAGCTGTGGGCCATGCTCGGTAGGCGCACATATATTTCGGTGGGTGAATTGCAGAAGGATTTAGGACATAAGCAACCACAGCTTGAGACCTCCGTGACTTTCAGGGTTTCTACTAGGGCAGAAGTTGAGAAACAGGAGGTCCAACTCAAGCGGATGATTTTGTGATGAGTCTCCGTTTCTCCACCCGAGGAGATGCTTGACTGCAACTTGATGGAAAAGAGAGCTAGCTATCGCAGCATGCCTGTCTCGACGTTTCGCTCTTTAGACATGCTCCATGTTTTGTTTGGGCAGATGTTGGAAAATGAGCCATTCGGAAAGTCCGAATCTTAACAGGACCGCAAGCACCATGTTCGACATTTGCTATTCTTCGCTGAGATGTTCTTTTGGACGGGAGGCTATTTCCGGTCACTGCCTGGGCTCAAGCTGGCGGATCGACGGATCCGAGCGAGCGACCGGAGGCGAGGGAAGCGGTGAGCAAGTCCTCTTAGACACGTCATGCCCTCTTTTTTGCAGCAGCACTGCTTGTCTAACTGGCCCGACCAGTGAAACTTTGATTACCCACAATTCTCCAGCAATTGACTGCCGGGACCTGTCCACCAGAAGGGTCCCGGTCTTCATCTGACCCCAGTGCCGAGCGATTGCAGCCCTCGCCAGGTTGCTCTGAGCAGCTTGGATGGCACAGCTCGCTTCTGGTGGTCTGCACAATGCACGTTCCACATGAGCTCGGTGCACAAACTGAGGAAATGGCGGGATACAAAGATGGCTCGCCTAAGTTCGAAGATGGTGCGCCGCAAACTCAGCACACCTTGGATTTGATGTATGTCTTGTATTGCAAGCGATGTCACTATTTGACACCTAGGCCGTGGAGCAAGAGTTCCATGCCAGAGAAGGTCATCGAGAAGAACATCGTCCTTTTTGCTGTGCCAAAGAAGGGGAGGCGCGACTGCCCGGAACACGGGGCAGGCTTCCAGAGCAGCTACGCCTGAGACAATTGCTGGCAGGATCCACGATGGTGCCGGCATCCAAGTATTCGCGGTTGGACAATGCTTCTATTTGCTTTTGTCCTTCAATAAGTTCATGAATGGCGGCAGTGAAATGATCCTTTCCCTCATTCCCTGGAAAGCGACAGCACTTCATGTTGCCCGAGGTGATGAAAATGCTGAAAGGTGCCGGCTTCGATGCGAAGCGGCCAGATCGACTGGATGTGGCCATGTGCAAAGAGCTTCCCATCAAGCTGGCCACCTGACCGCATCCCTGCTTTACAAATATGCGCTTGTGGTAGCACCCATTCGAAAGTAAGTGCCGCCTAGCTTCGTGTTCCTAAGAGCCGATTCAGTCTAAAGCAAGAAGTCCCTCTTTGAGCAGGCCAATTGCAGGGTCGCTTCAGCGACCAACATCCAAACTGATGCGCGATTCGGAAGCTAAGTTGCATGACTCAGCAATCACAACCACGTGAATCCACAACGATCGTTCCCGGATTCAGCACTGCGAGCATGCCATGAAACATGGCGCATACCCGCTCAAAGGCACCCGCTCAGCACTGCACGAATTTACCACGAATGATCAGGGGCACTTGCTCAGCGTGACATTTCCTCAGGTTTATCTACCCGCAGCGGACATTCCAAGCTACGACCCTCGGCTCGAATGTCCATTTATTGTCTCCAATTGGAGAAGGTTCCAGAACAAGAAACATCCACGAAGGAGTTCATAGGCACATCCATGTACTGCACCAGCTGCAAGGTGATGGAAGGCAACGTGGATGTCGGTATTTGTGGAAGCGATATGCTGGAGGAGGCAATGTGCCTCGGACAAATGTCCTGCCCTGCCTTCAGCCATTTGGCTTGGTCCATGTGCTGCTACTTCCTTGTCGCCACGTTTCAAAGCACCCAGGACAGAATCCGGGTATGCGAATGATGAGGCACCCATTGAGGCCTGACCCGCAGAACCTTTGGACTGGCCGAAGTATCTACACCTCGATGCTGTACATTGCATGTTGCAGAATGCTAGTGTTCTTAGGTATAATTCACTAGATTGCCTCCGGCTTTGAAGCAAAGCCAACCATTGTCTGCAGGTTATGCTGAAGCTTGGCATTGGCAAGTGCAAGCTTTGCTTGCAGGCGCCGGCTCAGTTTTGTGCTGCTCGGCCAAACCCATTTAAAAATGGAGGGGTATTTATTGTAGTATTTTTCCGTTTTTTTTTTTGGGGGGGGGATTTTTTTTCGCTTTTGGCTTCTTGGCTTCTTGGCTTCTTGGCTTTTCGGCTTCTTGGCTTCTGGGCTTTTCGGTTTTTTTTCGCATCCTCTCTGCATTCCCAGTTCCTCTTCGGCAGGTGGCGTTTTGGCTTTTGCGGCTTTTCGCTGGTTTACGCGACTTTTGGCTGCTTTTGGCGGCGTTTGGCGGCGTTTGGCGGCTTTTGGCGGCTTTTGGCGGCTTTTGGCGGCTTTTGGCGGCTTTGGCTTTTCGCATCCTTCGGGTGTTTTGGCTTTTGCGCCCTTTCATTGGTTTTTGGATTTGGCTTCCCCACCACCCTATTTGAATCATCACTTCTTCGGACATCATGGCGGGGAACCCCCCCCCCCCACCCGCTACTGTTTAGACTGTTTGCAGAGTAATTGCACCGCTATTTGAATCAACTCTTCTTCAAACATCATGGGGGGGTTGCCGCCTCCCCCCCGTTACTTTTTAGTTTTCTTGCAGAGATTGAATTGCACCCCTGTTTGCATCATCATTTTTTCGAGCGTCCAATTTCGCGAGAAAAATGCTGCAAAATACGACATTTTAGGTAATCTGTGTAATCCATGTATGTCTGTATGTATGCATTTCTTCGAACATCATAGAGGAAGCCACCCCCGCCAACCCTCCCGCTGCCTTTTAAATTCTATCGCACCCTTTCTTGAATCATTGCACCCCTAATTGAATCATCACTTCTTCCGACATCACGGGAAACGTAGATTTCTACAGAAATTTAATTGCACCCTTAGTTGAATCATCAATTCTTCGAACATCATGGGAAAGGCTGCCGCCCTCCCCAACCCCCCCACTAGTTTTTAGACTTTTTGCAGAGATTTAATTGCACCCCTGTTCGAATCATCACTTCTGCGACCATCATGGGGGTGGCTGCCGCCCCCCCCAACCCCCCCGTTTCTTTTTTAAAAAGTGTTTTTACTTTTTTTGTTTTTCTCTTTGTAATCCTGGGATTGAAATGCCCTCCTGTTTGAATCATTATTTGTTTGACCCGCCAGCTACTTTTTGGATTTTGTTACCCACGATTTGTTGGTGATGCTAGGGATGTTGGTCGGACATGCGGGGGATGTTGAAAACGATGCTCGGGATGTTGACGGGCTAGTGTAAAATGCGTCAATTTCGCGAGAAAATGCTGTAAAATACAACATTTTACTGGCCCGGACGAAAAACAAAAAAAAATCCCAAAAAACCCGAAAAACACCCAAAATACATCCGCACCCTTTAACAATTGCACCGGTATAACGCTTGCTGTTAGCGGACTGCCCGATCACCTTGTCCTAGGACAGGCCTGCCAAAGCGCCTTGGCCGAAGGCGCTCTGGCGACTGCGTTGGGCCGACGTCCTTGCACAGCTCCAGAATTCTTGGAAGTGATGTTTGACAAACGTCCTTGTTTTCAAGAAGTGTCTTGCGCAGCTGAGGACTTTGTGGGCAAGCGCATTGTCACCTCGTTTCCAGCATTGACAAAGCGCTTCTTCGATGAGCTCGCTGGGCAGGACGGGACATATTTTGATGCCAGCTTGGCAAGCGAATCATGTAGCGCAGGATAGCCATGATACTCACATCAAGGCCTGGATCTCAGAAGAGAGCCGATCCCACTGACAACTATGAGCGAAGTTACTGGAGTGGCAAAGGATTCAGAGATTAGCATAGGACCAGAAAGTCATGATGCTCGGGAAGTGGAATCACCTTATCCGAGGAAGTGTCAGGCTCAGTGGAGGCGGCGTGCGGCCTCGGGCTGGCAGATGCGCCCTGGCACGTTGGCTTTGGTTTCAGAGCTGGGGTGCGCGACTTACCTTGATAAAAGTGATCAGGAGATAAAACACGGTCTTGCTCTAATGAAGGCTAGAGACGACGCAATGGTTGCAGATTGGCGACTCGCACCGTTTGCAGATGTGCATTATGTTTCGCAGACTCAGGCAGTGGTCGACCTGGTTGAAACGGGAACAACCATGAAGGCTGCAGGCACGTGTGCAGGTTCAAGCTGGTTGGACTCCATCCCGAGCCCCAAAGAAAGCTGCGAAAAAGGTGGAATGACTTCATCAGTCAACGTTGCAGAGATCTATCAAGCTTCATGTTTGCTTGCATGTTCACCTCTTAACGCTTGCTTACCGTATGACAGACTCCAGAAAACCTGCGACTTTCAACCGCAGGTCTCGATATTGTGGCAGATGTCTTAGAGACAGAGGCCAGGTCTTGCGGCGGGAAGCCGATGTCGCGCCCTTCGCCATTGGGCATGCAGCATTGCGCAAGCATCCATAATTTGCTTTCCAGAGCGAGCGCTCTCTGCGCAGGTTCTACTTTTTCAGCAAAGACCATCAGAGGCGGCGGCATGACTTGCTCAGTGTGGAGAAGACTATTGTTTCCACTTGCATCTCGCAGTTCAATCAACTTTGAGGAACAGTGATCTGCCGGGTTTCAGCACTTTCCGCGAATTGATCGAATCATTTCTGGCTCCAGTGTTGAATCCCCAGAGTGGCCTGAAAGTAGCTGAGTGCCACACACACACACACACACACACACCCACCCACCCACCCACCCACCCACCCACCCACCCACCCACCCACCCACCCACCCACCCACCCACCCACCCACCCACCCACCCACCCCCACCCACCCACCCACCCACCCACCCACCCACCCCACCCCACCCACCACCACCCCCACCCACGCGCACGCGCGCACGCGCACGCGCACGCCAAAACGCGCGTCGCGCACGCGCACGCGCACGCGCACGCGCACGCGCACGCGCACGCACGCGCCCACGCCCCACGCCCACGCCCACGCCCACGCCCACGCCCACGCGCACGCGCACGCCGCACGCGCTGCACGCGCACGCGCACGCGCACACGCACACGCACACGCACACGCACACGCACACGCACACGCACACGCACCACGCACACGCACACGCACACGCCACACGCACACGCACACGCACACGCACACGCACACGCACACGCACACGCACACGCACACGCACACGCACACGCACAGCACACGCACACGCACACGCACGCGCACACACACGCATACGCATTACGCATACGCACACGCGCGCGCACGCCGGCAAACGCCTGCGCAACGCGGGCTACACGCGCAGCGCAGCGGCGCCTGCGCCGCGCGCGCGCCTGCGCGCTTTGCGCCAGCACGCCTATGCGCCTGCGCCACGCGCCGCACGCCACGCGCACGCTGCGCCGCACACACGCCACGCACACGCACACGCACACACGCACACACACGCACACACGCACACGCGCACACACACACACACGCACACACACACGCACACACACACACACACACACGCACACACACACACGCACACACACGCACACACACACACGCACACACGCACACCACGCACACACGCGCCACGCACCCACGCACCACGCACCCACACGCCATACACACCACGCACCACCACCACCCACCACCCACCCACCACCCCACCCACCCACCCACCACACACCACACACACACACCGCGACACGCACGCCTGCACGCACGCACGCACGCACGCACGCACACGCACACACGCACGCACGCACGCACGCACGCACGCACGCACGCACCCACCCACCCACCCACCCCCACCCACCCACCCACCCACCACCCACCCACCCACCCACCCACCCCACCCACCACACCCACCCACACACACACACACACACACACACACACACACACACACACACACACCCACACACCCACACCCACACCCACACCCACACCCACACCCACACCCACACCCACACCACACCCACACCCACACCCACCCCCACCCCCACCCCCACCCCCACCCCCACCCCCACCCACACACACACACACACACACACGTGTGAGGCCAATGGTCTGGAGAGCGGCAGCAAGGCTGAGACCCTGAAACTCATCGAGAGAAGTCCCCAGGCTGAACGCTAGCATTCTTAGCCATGGTTTCGGGCCGTGAGGCTTTTCCGGGGTTCGCACGCATTTACAGATTTTCAAAGTAACACTGGACGCGCGCTCCGTTCACTGTCGCAGCTTGGACTTCCCAAGGAATAGCAGGCTACCTGACGGCCACAAAGTATGTGATGATCATTTGCAATTGCCACCATGTCGCTAAGCAGCAGGTAGCCTGGAGTGCCATTTTGGCGGGATGTAGGGAACTCCATTGTGGGACGTGCCGGCAAGAAACATTTGCTTGCATAATTTCAGTTGGCCCTTGATGCTGTCGTTTACGTTTTCTGCCCTGCTTTGCCATGGCATGCCCCACCAAAAGTCAGCCCTCGCGTGGAAACCGTAAGGATGACTTGGCAGCTGTCTGCGCCCTGATGCCCGGCAAGAGGTCTCCCACCGTCACTGAGCTGTGCCTTGGATGCAGCTATGCCGGCCTGCTGATGGGAACCCATTACCCACCATTCCGAAAGCACTGAAATGACAAGTGACAGGCGTTACAGGCTTTATGCGGCATCCAACCGCTACAGCTAACACTAGTCGACGTACACGGAATACGTCGAAACCTTGAACAGAATCACACGATTTCATGCGGGGAAGCTGTGTGGCCTAGATGAGAACGCTTAGCCGGCTCACTTTGGCCAGGAAAGAGGAGCAGTGGCACTCCGTGTCTTCTTTGGTTAGGATTGACGAATCGACGCTTGGCCTTTGCCCATTTTGCCGCTGACGACCGCTGCATCTCCTGCTTTGGTCGGAGCCCGCACCAACAATGCTAGGAATCGCATCATGGACGAGCTTGCGAAGGCCATGTGATGCTCGAGAGTTCAGAGAGGCAGTCTTGTTCTTCTTTTTGCTAGGCTGGTGCAACCGATGTCTTATGCCTCGCTCTGAGCAACACGCGCATGTGAGCTGTCCAGGGTAGCGATCCTGGAGGGCTCTAGACCGAAGCGGAGCTTCGTCTCTTATGGCGCGGAAGGGCTGTGAAAGACTTGCAGCGGACTTCGGGCGCACCATTTTCCGTTGGCACTTGGATGGGGAAAGTGTTGAAAGTCTTTGCAAGATTTGTGTCTTCCCAAGTTATTGATTTTCATTGAGTTTCTGTCGGAACATTGTCCATCTGTGGCGACAATTCAGAGGATTCTGAGCTGCGATGCTCGACAGAAAAAGAGGGTCCTTGCATGTCCCGACCTTGCAACGTGCTTGAGTCGGCTTTGCTGGACGTGACTTGCGGTCGCACCATACTAAGTCTCCGCTGGAGACTTATATCATTGTGCCACAGTGAATTCAATCAGACTTAGCAGGTACCTACTAGCAAGTCCCGGGTGTTTGTGCCTTCAGAAGGATATGGGCTGGCAGCTTTTGCCAGGACATGCCGTTTGGGGATTCCATGACGCAGGCATAGGCATCCTGCTCAAAGCACAGCAGGATTGCTGCGGTCAACATAGTGCATAGATGAAGGAATGTGTGGCGCGATGTGCCGATCTGCCTGATGGTGTGAAGGCCAGCTAAGGGGTGTCAATTCCACATTAATCCTTAGAAAACGTCAGGCAGTCCGGCGGTTTGCCATTGATTTGTCCGTCACGCCCAGCTGATTCGGGTGCAGGCTGGGGGCCAAAGCATGGGGATCGTATGTGGGAGCCTCAGCTGCCAGCCGTGAAGGTCGACTTGTCCCCAGAATCAAACGAACACACCATGCATCTCCATAGCGCACCTTCACCGCATCAGTAAGCTTAGACGGGGAAGTGCCGTCTTGATTTGCAATCCACTGCTCATTTGGGCTCAGCCGATACATCACGGTTAGCAGCTCCCGTGTTGCAACTTGTGACAGGATGTAACTGTGCTTTTTTCGTTTTGATTAGCATGGGAGTTTGTGCTAACAGCATTTCCATGCTACTCACGCTGGGCTGCCTCAACGGTTGGCCCAGTCGCAAGCTTTACCAGTTTCTTGTACAAACTTGGAACTTTTCATGCCACGTAAGAGGCCTGCCGCAGCTGCGGCGGGCCGCTCGGAGGCGCGGGGAGGGTTGAGCACTTTTCGGGTCACTACTTTTCCTTGAAGAGCCTGAGGTCTTTTGCGGCGCATGCGCTTGCCCAGCTTACTCAACATCTGTTTTAAGTTGCTACCGCGGATGCGTTGCTTTCGCATGTTATTGACCTTTACTGTCAACATCAGATGATGGTAGAAGTTTCTCGCGGAATGCTGGGCAAGATATGACAAACTGCCGTCGGCGAGGAGGCATCATCGCCACTGGTTGCTTTTCAACTTTGTTGGCATGCTGGCCCTGCCCCAGCCGCATGCCAGAGCTGGCCTCCGGATTGTACTGTACCCGTCCAGTTGGGGTGCGGAGGTCTGTCAATCGAATCCCCGCGCCACTCCAGTGGTCCGATTCTTTTGCGCCCAGGTGTGGGCTCTCTCGCTCGAGCTGCTGCAGGCGGAGTCGGGGGAAGGGGAGTTGGACACCAGTTTGCGAGATATGTGTGTTGTATATTTGACCATTTACCTCCTAACATAGCTTCCCTGAAGGTGCTATGGACTTACTTCTGTCCCCTTCTTTCTTTGACGTTGGCAGCAAGCTCCAAGCTCCCTCCAGAATTGCCCGAAGAACCGCAGTCTGAGACTGCATTTCAAGGTAAAAGTGCTGAGGGAAACCACATCTGAATCAACCCGGCACTGACGATGTCTTCCAAACTAAACCTGGCTGTGGCCGCGACTTCACCGGGCAGGCCAGCCAAGTCCAGGGGCTGAGGAAGGACGCGGAGTCGGAGTCGGGGTGGCTTTGACATGTGCCCACAGCATGTTTTGCAGAAGCTGACCATGGCTTGCCTTGTTGCAATTGCGCAGGATGCCCGCCAGGGCAGCAAGGCTTGCACCCCAGATTGAGACGTCTGCAGGTTACCTTTGCATGCTCCACAACTCCCAACCCAGGCAAAACCATTTTGCGGCATTGCTCTTTTTTGGGGCCGCTATGTCCGCTGAACCTGTCGTCCTGCCTCAGCCGAACCCTTGCCAAAAGGCGTGCATGTATTTGAGGCAATCACAGCCTTTGGGCACTCTCACCAATGGAAGGACGCAGCGGCCTGAAGAGCTGTGAAGCTGAGCTTGGAGGGAGCCTGTGGTTGCTGAATTGGCATTTTGTTTTACGAAGCTTGGTTCGGCAGAAGTGCAGCAGGATACTACGATATCAATCGTTGCCCCACTTTCTTCCAAGAATCAGATCGTTGGTGATCAACCTACTGCAAAGCCCTTCTGGCCGTTGCTGTTACTGTAAGTGGCCTGGCAGCTTGTAGGGCCCTGCCCCAAGGCAATGTTGACCTTGCAGGAGCTGGAGGCGACTGGAATTCGGAAGTGCTTGCTACAAAGATCAGGGGAAGCCCCATCCTCCACTTGATGGCTGATAGGAGAAGTTCGATGTAAGCCGCGAGGGGCCTTCAACGGGCCATTGAAGAAACTGCACGTGACTGCCCAGCGACTTCATGTTGGCCAATGGAGGGAGGGGGCAGTTTGAACGAGCGCCCTGGCAGTCCTCGGACATTGAGCCGAACGTTGTCCTCTTCGGAAGCCTGACCAACGCGCTGAAGGGGGCGCGGCACCCATTGTTTCAACGTCGAGGGGAGCACGGCAAACAGTATAGAGTCCAAGTGAAAAGAACGGGATGATCTTTGCAAAGTCCAAGCTGTTTGGTGTAGATGACACATGCGCGATCCTCTTCAATTGGGGAGCTCCCAAATGGATTCCCTCGCTACTCGAGTAGAGCAACACAATGAATCTTGATCGCCATTGAAGCACGCCGTTGAGACAAGAGCTGCGATTGCCCCATGCCCACTGGACCGAGGGCTCCGGCTGGCAGCTGGCCTTTGAGGACTGACTCGGCCAGTCCGCTGAGAGGCTTGAAATCCCACCGGGCAAAGCCGAGCGCAGGTGTTGGAGCGTTCTGCCCACGAAGGCCTGCAAAGCCTTTTTGCGCACAATGCGGGGGCCGCGAGGATGTTTCAGGCTATCCAATCATGGGACTCGTTGGTCCAAGAACGACCTGAGAACAATCTCAGACATGTTGAAAACTACTCCTCGGCCACTTGGCAGCATTGCTTCTTAATAGATCATGTTTTTCTTATGTTTCTCTCGGAAGGGAATAATAGCACGCCAGAACCCCAAGTCGCAAAGTAGAAACTGGCATGTCCCATTCCCAGCTGAACTTCCACAGCTTTCCGTAAACTTTCTCGTGGTCTGTGTGCCTTCTGGGCACTTTTTATGCCTCGCGACTCGCGCCTTGCGACTCGCGACTCGAGCTGAGGCCGCAATGAGCGCCTGCCGCGCCACCTGGGTGGCTGGCCTCGCACTGCTTGCCGGGGAGCGAAGGGGGGAAAGAAATGGCAATTGTTGAAACTGGATTGGCGATCACCCCAGCGAGCCAGAAAGGCTGGTGGCACACCTGTTGTGCAGTGCGCAACCCACACGGGGGAGAGCTACTCGAATTCTGGCCGGCTTCGGTGTTCTGGAGGGCAATCCTTTGCCATAGCGAGCCAGCTCCACTAGCTTAAAGGCTTAGCTTTGCGGCTCGGGACCGGTGATGCAAACCGCTGGGTGTGAAGGTGCTGAAGGACTGGCAGGGATCGTGGCCAAAGGCTGTTGCTGCGAGCTGAGGCGAGCATGACCTCTGTGAGATGGAGCGATGCGGCTTGGCCCTCTGCTCAAGTGGCGCAGTGCCGAGAAGGTCCCAGGTCTGCGGACATTCTAGTTTTACTGCACCGCATGTATGCAAACTCAGTCAGCTGCGAACCTGACCATCCTGACCCACAATGCCCCAGACACTCACGGCTCTTCAATCAGCAAGTGCACAGAGGATATAATTACCCAATCAACCTGCGGCTCGCCTGAGCCCGGCAAGGTCACCTACAACACAGCCATCACCGTGTGCACAAACGGCAGCCCGGCGTGTGAGTGTGTGTCAAAACGTTCGTTTCATCTGGCTTTGTATTCTTTGAGACCAGCCACCCATGTGCGCTCCTACATTGAGCTGGGGAAGGCAACGCCATATCATGTGACTCCGGGTGTCCAAGCTATTGACATCCATTGACTATTGAGAGGGTATTGTGTGGACAAGGATCGCGTCACTCCCGAAAAATGCCAAATCAAGCAGCAATCAAAGGTTATTGGGACGGCAAAAAACAAACGTAAGCTGTTTCTGTTTTAATCCTTATTGCCAAGCCGCTCATTCCATGTCTTTGGCACAACCAAGGCAAGCAAGCGCAACGAGCGACTCGCTTGCTGAATAACATCAAGGCCTCTTCGTGATCAAATATGCATCCTTGATTTTACAACGTTGACCTAGCATCCTGCATGGCTGAAGGTGCCCGAAGGAAGTATATCCATGTTTAACCTGGCTTAAAGCAACAATTGCAAGATTTGCTTTCTGGTTCCGCACAGTCGTTTTTGAGGCATGGTCCCGAACACCCATGCGTAATTATTGATGCTCTTGTTTCAGTACAATCCGACTTGCTGTAAAGTGCGGTGCAGGATGATGGCCTCGTGCCAGATCAGGCGCGTCAGGGAGAGTCTCAGGGTCCGATTTGCCAAAGCGAGTCGATTCTCGGCTTGGTGATTTGCGATAATTCGCCGCAGCCGCTTGTGTTAGATCTCGAGCACGCGATTTACGAACATTTGTCAGGGAAATTGTGAACCGTGAGGCAATGCAGTGCGATAGAATCATTTACGGTCACCAGGTGTCATTTGCCAGTGTCATCTTGGCTTGCAAGCGCGAGACTCAGCCTGCAAGATAGCGAGTTCGTGATTTTGGTGCTACGACCCCATGGTGAACCTGTCCCGCAAGGAACGCACTGCCGTTTATCATTTTGTGCACGTGGTCCATGAGATGTCCCCGGACGTAAAAGGTGGTTGCAAGGTAGCCTTGTTGGAAGATTCATGGGGGAGATTGCATTAAAGCGCTTTGGATCAATTGGTAGTCTCAGCGAAAGGCACTGCGGATGCCTCCAGCGCGCCGCTAATACGTTTCCCACAACATGTTTCATGTCAGGCTTGCTTGGCAAAGATGAGACAACGTCAACATGATACAGTTGTTGCGCTTCTCAATCAACTCATCAACCACTCAATTCCATGGAACATGATGAGGGCGCTGTGACTCACTGGGCCCGCGACCGAGGATGGCTGCGGACTGGCAGGCGGCGGTTGCGTTGTGGCAGGACTGCCCTTAGCTACGTTTGGATTGCAAACAAGAGAGAATCCAATCATTTGCACCCTACTGTTGTGTGTTTCTTTTGTTTTGCACGCTCCTTCCTTCTTGGGAGTTGCGTGCCTGACTGGTTTCCGTTATTTTGTGAGGCCAGCCCAGGCCAAGCAAGGAAATCTATGACGGTCATCTCAGCCAGGCCGCCAGGATTGACTCATTGTCTGGGCAAACGGGCAGGAGATGGAGGAGCAGCCACACCTGCGCCCGGATTCCATGACGCATGGTTCAGGTCCCAGATGAGTTTTGGCATGAACAGGTGAACATAATAGTATGCGCTGGTGGCTACCATGCCTTATATGAGCCACCTGTGTACGGATTTGGTTGTAGAGGCCGATTTTGCAGACATGTTGGTGAAAGACCATTCTTTCTCCATGCTTCTCGTCAAGGTGTCGTCATGGCGGCCTGCTGCAGCGGCCAACAGTGGGAACGAGCCTTGCGGATGCCAGGGACCTTAGACCTTGTGGCAAGTTGGGAGACATCGGATTGTGATGGATTGGGCAGCAAGTCAGCCGGAGCTACTCAAAGGACATGCGAATCCTTGCCGCCTAAACAAAAACAAGGCATTGCCTTGCTGATACACGCCGAATTAGCATCGGTTTGTGGCTCGCTGGCTCCTCCATCAATCGATTTTCCAAGGGGGTCTCAAGCTTGAATGCGAGTCACTTCTTCAAGAACCAAACAAGAGGCATGCTATTTCGTTTTCACAAAAATGGCCATGAAACCTGCTTGTTTTGCCATATCATGCTCTTGACAGGTAAGCAACACTCCAAGACCCACTGCAACTGAGGTTGGAGTCGATTTGCCAGAACCATGACCCAGACCTTGCCATGGGCTGAGATTTTTGCGGCTTCTTGAATCGCTGCGACCCAGTTTCTGGAGAAGGGGCAAACTTCCATCCTGAGGTTGGGAGTTCCATGGCCTTGGGAAGCTTATTATTAAGGAAGACACTCAACATTTGTTGTTGACCACGAACATGCTACATGGGCGCGCTGACGTCGGGAGGATCACGCATTGTGCTTGCATACAATTTTTGCCTGCGCGGCTTCTGACAGTTGGTCGTGGCATTCTCGTAAGCTGGCTCGTCTCCAGGTTACCGTGAACACTGCCTTGTCTGCCTGTTCTTTGGGAAGATGCTGGCTGCTGACGCTTACACTGCTGGAAAGGTGCGAGGCTCAATAGGATGTGACCAGAGGTAAGAGGGGAAGAGCATGGTTGGAGAAAGGGGTGCATGGGCATGCCGCAAGCTTCGTTTGCCTTTGGCATCATTGTCTTGCCAAGTCACAGAGGGCTCGCTGTGCCCAGGTTGCAGCGCAGCACGCAGCCAGACGTTTGGTGCCCAAGAGCCCCCCGAGCACAAGGCCCAAGCTTGGGCAACAGAGCAGCGCCCACTGTGGTTTGAAGGAGCTTCTCATTGGTGCGGTAGGGGGGCGGGTCAAGAGACACGGATTTGAACTGAAGCCTTGCTCACTCTGATGCAATTGTATATCCTTTCTGTCAGAACCTGGAGCCATTTGTGCATTGGAGGGCCCGTTACCTTCCGTTGCAAGCACCTTGTTGAGTCCAGCTCTAGTCATCAAATTCGAGAATATTCAGGCCATGAAGAGCCACGGCAAGTCAGGTCATATCCCTGAACGCGGCTTTGACCACCTGCGAGCGCGCAGACTCGTGGCAGGCAAAGTGGAAGTGCAGAGAGCATGCATCAGAGCTTTGACTGCTGAGAATATGGTTGCCCCGTCTGAAAAAGAATGTGTCGATGGGACCAGACCATACTGGCATCCTAGCCATCAACACCGGGGGGTGGATCCATTTTGACAATCTCTCAGATGACAAGATGACGTTTTCTAGTTGCCCGATTTCTCCAGGCGGCTGTGGCGTTGATGCAGACGCTCAGCCGCGACCCAAACTTGGGCCAGGCCATTGAGCCGGTGCGACAGGGCAGTGGGCGGGTTTGGGTCCTTGAGCTAAGAGGATGCTCCGAGGGCAGGAAGGCAGTTGCTTGTGCCAATGCCGAACCTGAGGCCAATTCCTGCAGCCAGATGGTGTGAGCTACGCTTCCTGCACTTCAGCCTGTGGTCCACTGGCCAAAGTTTCGCCGTTTCGATCCAATGCATCGCTGGTACGGAGGGGCTTTGTGCCAGGGAGCTCTAAAGTTGAGATGGCTTTTTAAACGTCTCATCTCTCACGGAAGAGAGCTGGGGCAAGAGGAATGGATAGAGAGTGATGCATGGGAAGCTGGGTTTCTAGAACACACTTATTCTTTTTGTTTTTGTTTTTCTCTCTCTCTCTCTCGCTCTCTCTCTCTCTCTCTCTCTCTCCTTCTCTCTCCCAGCATCTTACCCCAACCATTTCTCTCGTCTCCATTCTTCCATTCCTGACTCGTGATCATGGAAAATAGAACCAGCAAATCAAGAGGGAAGAAAGAGAGAGGTGGATGGGGCATGGACGCTGGGAGAGAGAGCGAGAGAGAGAGAGAGTGCAAGAGAGGGAGAGAGGAAAAAAGAAGAGAGTTCCCTTTGCATGCTAGAAACCCAGTATCCATTCATCACTGTAATACACTTCTCTTCATCAGTTTATCCATCATCTATCTATATCTCTCGGAGCAAAAGAGGAGAGATAGGAAGATAAGTGATGGACAGGGAAGGGAGTGGTGGACAGAAGTCCCAGATCCAGCATTTCAGTTTTTCTTTGGGTTTCTTTCGCGGGATTCCTGACAAGAGAAGACGAGTCTGAGGGTTGGGCTTTGAGAGCTGACAGCGGGTGAAAAAGACCCCACGCATTCTTAGCAGGTTTCTCGTCTTGGAGCGTGTCTTACAGTGGAATCCGGGCAACGGCCGCATGGCTTGTATTTATGGTCTGTGTATTAGGGATTCTGTAGGTCGCACCGTCTAACACCCAGCAGAGAATCCTGGAAAATAGTAAGACGGTCAGTGGCATCCGCGAGTCTCGCGATTGCTTTACGCGCTGTCGTATCTATCTCCCGTAGGCTGGTGGCGGCTGCTTGTCAGATGTTCAGTAGCCTTTGGCAAGATAGACAGGACACCTGCTGCCACACATGCGGCATTGGGCTAGATTTCAGGAGCTGGTCCACGAGCCAGCGGGGCAGGGAAAGTGCATTCCCCGTGCGTACATTCTCATGCCACTTTAAGCAAGGATTACAAGGTGGAACACGTCGCGTAGCACTTTTGGAACTTGCATTGAGAAGTATTGGTCAGCAAAAAGAAGGCATAGACACCCCGTGTGCGCCGAAGGCTATGCTCGACACTTGTGATCCGCGGTCTTGCTGAGCAGCGCCTCGCGCCATGCGTCTGGGCACTTCCCAGCCACTTTGCAAGCCAAGCTATCAGCTTCATTGCAATGGGTATGTTCACGCGTGAACATCCCAAACCATCCGCAGCCAGCCACCAGACCGCCCCCGAACTCCCTCGACCACGGTAATTGATGGGAGACTTCCAGCCACCTGGCCAACCCTGTGCTACCTCGCCGCCCGCCTCCAGCAACCCCAGCCAGACACCCCCCCAACTGCAACGACGGTCCGCTCCAGCCACAACTTGGATTTTCCCCCGAGAAAATGCGGAGCAACACTGAACAAAACACTACAGGAATGATTACGAAACTCCGTGGCTCAGTCTTGGTGTTCTGGGCTCGGTTAAACATTTTTCCTCATGTCAGCCTTGAAAGCAAGGCCACAATGTCTGCTCAGAAACGGCCAAGCCATTGAAAGTTGTTTCAACTTTGCAGCTACGAACCTGCAAAAGTGTCAACATAGGCCAACATGACCCAACATCTCCACGTTACCCGCAGCATTTCGAGGCGCCGGCGCCGGCTCACAGCGCTGGGGCCTGGGGCTTCATTTGTTGACGGCAGCAGCGCAGCGAGGCGAAGTCGACGTTGGCTTCTGGGTTGCGCAGTGACCTACTGGTAGGTCCTCCAGATGGCGTGTAACTGACAGATCATGCATAGCTTGATTGATTCGCACATTTGCCTGTGCTGTTTATAGAGGCTGAGTGCTTTCAACAACGCCAACTTGAACCTGCTGCGTTTACTGTTGTGTGCACGCTGACGTTGGGAGCAGCGCAGAGACGTGACGCAGCTTGCAGTTTGTTGCACAGCAGGATAAGCTTACTTGAGCTTGATTGGTAGGACAGGTGCACATCGCTGTCCTTCCGTCTTTCCATGGGTGAATATCAAGAAGGAGAGCAAAGAAAGTCTTTGCTTTGAACTCAAATCTGCATTTGTGAACTGGCAACCTCTTTGCCCCTCAACAACACTCTTTCGCATTGCTGCTGCCCAGGGAACCACAAGGAGCTGTACCAAAACTCAATAGATATGGGAAAAAGGACCACCGCATTCAAGAAGCTTGTGCATGCACCGATCTATTTCAGCCTTCTGGTGGATGTTGCAGGCCTTCTGCGACAAGAGGCAACCTCCTCGGCGTTGAAGGCATTGCAGGCGTGGGGGTTGTCCATTGATTGTCCGAGGACTTTTGTTTGGTTCCAAGCTTTGCCTGCGGAAGTCAAACCGTGTCATAGTCCTTTATTTCCGCCACTTCCTGACTTTCAGCACCGGAGCATGAATAGCTCTTGAATGTCGGTGAGAGGCCGTGTGAAGCTGTCAAAGACTTCGTTTGTTCACAGGCATGGTTGAAAGCTAATCTTAGTGCAGATGACAGTTGTGAAACAAAACTGGGCTAGTTGGACAATGCCGGTATTCCAAGTCCACGCGTTGGGAGCCTACTGTAAGCAGATATCAGCAGTCCCATTTCCGCCAACTGATGCAAGCATCAGACAATATCAGCGGCTCTTCTGCATTGACATGTTTGCAGCTGCCTAATGCTTGTTAGGCACTAGGCTTTTTGTCGATCTTCACCACTTCTGGTGCTGACTCATTATGACTCATACTTATTCCTATGATGTTGACAACCTGTGATTCAGATATCGTTATCAGCCACTCTCTAAGATGATGGTTCCTCTTGCATTCGCCTCTTTTGCCCGTTGAATTTTGTGGCAGAACTCTTCGGTGCGGAGGCGCGCTGACTTGAATGTTTTGGGGCGCAGGAGGCAGAGTTTGGCTTCCAGCGCTGGGCCCGCGCTTTGCTGCTCTTCAACCAGGTGGGCACTCAAGGCCATGGCTTGGATGTAAAGGATTCCTGCGGCTCAAAATTTGTGGCTCTCACGAGGACTCATTTGGAAAGGGGTGTAGTCCAGTCCTCGCTGTTCAAAGCACCAGGCGATCCTGGCAAAGCTGCAGCCGGCGCCTTAGACTGAGGCAAGGGGCCCAATATGATTATAATGTTTGCTTGACACCCTAAGATAAAGCATTTGCGCTCCTTTCTTTAGAACGCTTCTCCTTTCTGCCCTTCGGCTTCACCACTCAGTGACCTTTGTTTGACAGCCAGGGATGCAGAGAGATACAACCATGTCGAATTGAGGCCAGATTCCCTCTTTCTTACTGCTGCTCTGGGCGCTTGCCGCGACGGTGCGTTCGAAGGAAGCATGCGAGCTGGCGAGCAGGCATGGCTTCGAGGAAGAAACAGGTCGTGTCCTCCTCGTGATGTTGCACAAGTTTGGGGTTGCAGCCATTGCTAGTGAGAGGCGATACACAGCTTTGTGTTCAGCATTTTGCAAAAGGCTTGAGAACTTGCAGACCAGCTTGCTCTGCAAACTGGCAGGCAAGATCCCTGTTGGCCAGACTGGGCCAGGACACTTGCAACTCGCTTCTTGCAGTTGGGTGTCCATGACGAGTTTCCAAGTCTTGAGACTTCGAATCCCGGGCCCGGAGCATCGCACCGCAGGACGCGGACATTGCAGCCTTGGGCGTCGTGTGCGCCCTGGATTTCTGTGAAGCACTGCAATCCAGCCTTCGGAAACTGAGGCTTTAAGATCACAGACGAATCATGGGCTTGTTGCAACAAAAACAAGGCAAAACCAACCTCTGAATCACTTTCCGTCAAGTTGCTGAGTGCGGCCATCATGGCTATAATTTGAGGAAACCATCCAGACAGTCCATGTGACATTGCCTGAATTGGCTTGTGGCAGAATCTGACAGGGGCATTTCGCGGCCCAGTGAGAGAGCTTTCGAGCTGAGGCACTGGATACCTCGGAGGCTGCAGCAGACCATGCAGGCGCGTCCTTGAACCCGACGAAGCTTGAAATCAAGGGCCCAGGCGGAGCTTCTTCTTTTTGCAGAGGGTCTCATTGTTGGGTTTGTTTCGAAGGGAAACCAGAGGGCAAACACACGAGTTTAGCGCTTGTAGCTTCTCTCAAAGTGAGATCCCGAGGTTCAGTGGGGCTGCTTGCAGAGATCTCCGGCCCCCACCTTACCGCGCCATAGATCCCGAAAGCTGAATGCATGGAGCTGGGCAGAGTTGGTGCTGATTGGTTGAGTTTGAGGACCGCCCGATATCTTCCTGTTGCCCCAACCTGAGGTGAGGAGCTGCGGCTGCTGCATGAGCTGCAGGCCGAAAGCGCCGGTGTGAACTTTAAGCAAAGCCGCCGATGCGCCTGGGATCTTGAGTTCACTGTCCGGATGCACCCTCACAGGAGACACAAAAGCGACCGCCATGGCGAACAATGAAGTTGTTCACCTGAGTGCATCCCAAGTCTTCTGACTGGCCGGTGTGGCTGAAAGGTCTATTGAGATCCTTGAATCAAGACTGATTTTGAGCCCGCAGAGCTCGGCAGAGATTTGTTTGACTTCCCCAATGATTGGGCCAGGTGTCAACAGTCTACCGGGCGCTGGCCTTGGTGTTCCTCAGGCTTAGGGTTTGGGCGGAAAGCGTTAATCGTGTTTCGCGACCCATGATCGGTGAAGGGAGCAACCACCAGAACGAGCTGGCCAAGTCAAAACTGAGGCAGTTATTGGCATCGATCTTCTGCAGCATTGCTCGACCCTCATACAGGCCGTTTGTTTTTCTTGATACTTGTTGCTCGAGGCGTTTGCAACGCATGATCAGTACATGTGCACAGGTCCCAACATTGATGACCAAGTAATCTGTACTTGTCGGAACACATCAAGCCACGTCGGACGCGGCGACAGTTGTAACCTGAGAAGTTCCTTGCGCATTGCGCAGGCCTGCTTCCATCGAGTAGTGGTTGCCCCAGTTCTGCCAAGGCCTGTTGGCATGCGACAGAGCTGTCAATTGTGTTGGACACTGCAAAACGATCATCAAGTTTAGTGTCAGGTGGTTCCTTTCAATTGATTTAACACTAGGGCGTTCGAAGGACAACCGGGTATTCCATCTATGCTTGCATCGATAATCTCTTCTGTGCTTTTTCTTGTGCATTTGTTGCATGGTGCAGCATGGTGCAACATGGTGCAGAATGGTGCAGCATGGTGCCAGCATGGTGCAGCATGGTGCAGGCTGCAGGAGCTAGCCCATTCAGAGTTAGAGTGTAGGCCTTAGGCTGTCGGGCTGCACGGGGATGTATCGAGCAGAAGGTGATGTCACCAGGCGAGTTTGGGTGCTTGTGGTAACTTCCTTTTGTGGGAAAGGCATGGCGAGTGCTTTTGCCCGCGTTTGCGGGCAAGGCAGGTCAGCTTTTGTTGCTTGGACTCTGGACCTTTGCAGCTGCAAGACTGACTCTACCAAGGAGAGATCCACTGCTAGAACGGCAGCCAATGCTGGGGGCCTCTGCAAGCGCTAAGGCAGGTTGCGGTGAAGAAGTTGCTGCACTGTTGTTGTGAAGAAGTTGCTGCACTGTGCCCCCAAGCCCATTGAATCATATTACGGAAGTTTGTTTTTGCAACTTGTCGGATGTTGACTGGCCTCCATCTTGCAAAGTTGCGCTGTTGCGTTTTGTTTGGCACACAGTTGGACCGAACCAGAGTGATGGCAACGCTGGAGGCCTTGCTGGTTCTTGGCATGCACCAGGCTGGCAACATGGGAATCGCCATCGCGTCCAACTTTAATGAAAGAGTTGTACGAAGCAATGACTCGTAGCGGGCTCGGCCATGACTGTACAGGAGAATCAGACTTGGTCCTCGATTGCACGCTGCAGCACTAGAAGCTGCACCAGTGCCCCTTGTCATTGCACATCCAGACCCCAAGGATCCGCGTGCTCTTTTCCCCTTTGGATTGCCAAGGATTAGGGGTTCTCAATCGGGGAACCAGGCAAGCACCAGGCTCTCTGATCAGCGAGAGCACCGGAAGTGGTTCTCCTCGGCTTGAGCATCTTCCTGCGTGCCCAGGCTTCCCTGGTGCGTGCTTCCTTGGATGCCATCGCCACGGTCGGTGCCTCAATGTCACTGCGTTCTTGGGCGAATTTCCGCACGCAATGTTAAGAGTCTTTTGGGGTGAAATTCTTCAGGAGCTGAAGGACGATGTGTTTGTTCTTTTTCACCAAGTCAGATGACATGACTAATGATGAAAGATATCTTCCATCTTGGACGAACAGGATTGCGTTGACTGGAAGAGTGCCTGCCAAAGCATACCCTGCATACCAAGGCGCTGTCTGCATGGCTCGCATTTTCCATTCACCCAAAGGTGCGCTTCCCAGAGGTGTCAGACGACCGTGCCCCGCCTTGCGCCCCGTCAATGCCCTCTAGGCACAGCTGACACCTTGAGTTTTGCAGCCCAGGACTTGATCCTGTGCCCGAACTGCAAAAGCGCAGTCAAGATGGAGTTCAGCGTTTGAGGGGTTCCATGCATACAATATCTTTCTCTCTATATTATGCACATATATATATATATGTATAATATTTCCAATGTTCTAGATCCCCATTGCAATACGCTTCCTTGCAACATGTTGCATTACAGCCCATCGCATTCATGCATGCATTTCGACATACGTTCATACGTACTGGCAGACAATAGACAGACAGATGGACGGATGGATGAATGGACAGACAGAGAGCCAGAGAGACACCAGATAGACACAGAAAGACAGAAAGAAAGACAGACAGAAAGACAGAAAGACAGACAGAAAGACAGAAAGACAGACAGACTAAGATGGACCAAGGCGGCCGGAGACAGTCTTACACAAACCCACACCCACACCCACACAAACAAAAACACAACAGACACGTGTTCACATCATTTTCGCAAAAAGTCATAAACACATACACGACATACACATGTAGAACATAATATAGAGTCAACTACACATGTCTGAAATCATGTGTTTCTAAGGGCTACCAATCGGGCTGCTGGAGATGAGTACACATGGCAGCGAAACCGAGCAACGACGAACATGCCGCGCTGCCAAAGAGACACACCCAATTCCAAATTCATTATCCAACAATACAAGGTTTCTTTGCAGGTATGGGTGAGGGTTCAGCGTGTATCCTCTCCATTTTGAGTGCTACTTTAAACATCAGCCGGAAACCAGGTGTCATGTGATATGTTCAAGATCAGGGGGAGGTTAGCGCCACGCCGCATTCCCAAGAGAACAATGTTCCCCAAGTCCACATTCTTCCGAAAATCCATTCTGGTCAGATCCAGGCTGCGATCGCGCCCTCACGCGGCCGCATCAGTGCAACTATGCCAGGAGGCACAGCGGGAAAGGCCGATCTGACATGTGTCTCAGTTCAAGAAGCCTCAGTTTCAACCCATTCCTGTGGCTTGATGTGCGTCGATGTTCGGGTGCTCATGCTTCGCACTGCATGAAGGACAACCTTCCCACTCACCCACTACGAGTCTCCCCTCATATCGACACAGAAGTCACACTCATTGCCCTGCAATATTTGGGAGTGTGTCAAATCCAGCACCCCCTTCAATTGGTTTCATGTTAGCCTTGGCTTCCTTTGGACCTTCTCCCGAGTTTGAATCCGGTCCTGCAGGACCCAACATCATTTCGCCCATTGCGGCTCATCATGACCGCGCCCCGCACGGCGAGCGCCAGGCTGCGAAGAAAACAAAGCAGATGGAGCTTTGTCAGTGTGTCTTTTTCCAAGGGTATCCTTTTTGGAGTGGTATAGAATTGATGATTTTGGAGGTTCCGTATTTTGACCCTGTGTAGACTTTTGGTGGGGCACTCCGAGGGAGCTCGGTTGTTCATGGCATATCGATAGCTCGTTTGATCTCAAGCAAAGGGCTTGCGGAGATCAAGGGGAGCGGAGATTCACCCACATTTCACCCCTCATATTCAAGGAAACGCCAGGACTTTGAGTGGACAAATTGCAGTCGATGCCTGTCCTCTTCGTAGCTGCATGGACAATGACCCTCTACTGTATGTTTGTCTTCTTCAGGCATTCTGAGGGCAACCAGCGTCTGCGCAAGAGATGCTGTTACGGGCTAGAAGAAAGCAAGCTCTCAAGCGGTTTTGGCAGGCTCTGCTGACGCTGGCTGCGGCCATCTCAACTGCGCAGCACACTCCTGGGCAAAATCTGGGCGATGCGAAGTGCGGGCTCACAGTATTTCAATCACCGAGCCAATTTGACGCGGGATATCGCTTCGGTGCAAATTCATGAATATCATGTCCACGCCGCTTGGATCAGCCGGTTAATTAAAAGGAACGCAACACAGCGAAGGGTGCGCACATAGTTCCGAATGCCCAAGCGGCAGACGATATTGAATCAATGTAATTGCAGCGGTGCTTCATTAGCCACAACAACTGTGTGCGTGTTTGTTGACGCATCACTGTTGCAAACGCTTACAAAACCAGCAAATGGGTCACTAAACGTTTTGGGGTAGCAGAGACACTGCAACGAGTCATTCAGCAGAACAAAACTGCATGACTCGCTTGCCATGGTGCCGCCCGATCAGATTCTGCGAATCAAAGAACAGCAACTTTGGCATCCATTGCATGCGTCGGTTGTGGGAACTGCACGAGTTGCTTGAACTCACAATCACAGGCATCCTTCTTTTGCCTAGCTTCTCCAGAAATGAGCCATTCACAGCTAGTTGGCCAAAGTGCAGCAGACTTGGAGAGCAGAGAGCCATTGCGGAATGACATAGCTCCATGACGATGCATATTCCTTGTGTCCCGAAGACATCTGTGTTGGAGGTTTGCTCTCGTGGACGAAGATGGCTCCGGGCGAATCGAGAAATCCGAGCTGGAGGCGAAATGGGCACGTAGTCTTTGGTCCGATAGCCTTCCTGAGGATCTCACTGGCCAAGCGGCCAATTGCCACCATTATGGACCATTGACTCGTTTTTCCTCACGAGCTTCTATTGCGCGGGTGCACATGTTCATGATTTGTGTCTTTGTCAGGGGCAAGCTAGAAGGCAACCAGCACGGGCCTTAACCACGCCAAAAAACTGCAACCCTGCGACTAAAACGTTGGTTACGACGACAATTTCTTATTTTCACCCCACGACAAAAAAACACCGACACCCCGACAGCGATGCTTGCAGCCCAAAACAAGCCCAAAAATCGCTCTTTGCTTTGAGGCTGAGCCCTGTCTTCTTTCCTCTTCCCGTAGTCTTCTTTCCTCTTCCCCTAGTCTTCTTTCCTCTTCCCCTAGTCTTCTTTCCTCTTCCCCTAGTCTTCTTTCCTCTTCCCCTAGTCTTCTTTCCTCTTCCCCTAGTCTTCTTTCCTCTTCCCCTAGTCTTCTTTCCTCTTCCCCTAGTCTTCTTTCCTCTTCCCCTAGTCTTCTTTCCTCTTCCCCTAGTCTTCTTTCCTCTTCCCCTAGTCTTCTTTCCTCTTCCCCTAGTCTTCTTTCCTCTTCCCCTAGTCTTCTTTCCTCTTCCCCTAGTCTTCTTTCCTCCTCCCCTAGTCTTCTTTCCTCTTCCCCGCACAAGCGATTTTTTGAGCCCAAAAATCGCTTTTTGCTTTCGGGAGGTGCCAGGCTGAGCAAAAACAATTTTTTGAGACCGAAAATCGCTTTTTGCTTTCGGGAGGCCCCAGGCTGAGCAAAAGCGATTTTTTGAGCCCAAAAATCGCTTTTTGCTTTCGGGAGGCCCCAAAGCGATTTCTTGTCGTGGGGTGAAAGAACAAAAATTGTCGGGGGTGGATGGGTTTGTTGTCGGGGGGTGGGTTTTGGGTTCCTTGTCGGGGTTCGGGCGCGCCCTCAGAAGGCAACGCGTCTGAGACGTCTAAGATATCAGTGGCAAGAGTTGCCATGAGCCTTGGACCCATGGCCAGGTGCTGCTGTCATTCCTGGGCCTGGCCACTTGACTCAGGGTGGGTTTTGTCAAGCTCTGGGGCTGCAAAGAAGTCCAGCACTGCGTTGCGGTGTCGTGTGTTCCGCAAAGCTTTTGCAAACAGTTTGAGGCACCAGCCGTGTTAGGACCCAGATGGAGGGCAGGTGGACTCCCTCTTTGACGTGCTCGATACAGACAAGGACGGGCTCATCAGCTTTCAGGAGTTCGTGGACTTTGTCTTCCGCACTGGTGACCGAGACTTCCTCACGGAGTCAGAATTTATGAAGGTCCGGGAGCTGCAAGCAGCGCACAAAGAGGCGCAGAAAGCCCCCGTGCCCGGAGAGGATGTAAGGGATGCACAGGCTGCACAGGAGGAACAACTTCCTGTCAAGGATGCGAGCCTTGGCAGCAGGCAGACCCAATGGCCAGAGAGGGGATATTTTTGGTGTATAGCCTATATTATATAGCGTCGCTCAGATCCAGCCCCTATCTGACAACAGGTTTATACAGGCTCTCGTTTTTGTCCCACCGCATGGATGGCAAGCTGAAGTGGTGAAGTCTTCTTTGTATCTGGGCTGACTCGCAGAATGTTTTGTTGGCTTTGCCCATCACAGTACAGGCGTTGGACAAAGTTATGCCTAGGTCATGCCCCCTGTGTTTGTTGCTAGCTTTTGCTAACAAGTGTATGCAAAGTTCGCTTTGGCAAGGCCGGTAACAGACTAAACATAGTCGTTTACCTAGTCAAGGCGTGCGCCCTGATGCGGAAAAACCCCTGGGATTCCAAGACTGCACAAAGCAGAAGCATGATTCTGAACAGAGTCTTCTACACAGTCGCTGAGCTACTGTGCGATTTGGAGAGGCACGACTTCTTCGCAACCCTTCCCCCCACGGTATTTAACCAAGCAATGTCTCAAACTGAGGCTCCCTGCATCGCAACAAGCCCCTTCATGCGCAATCGAGGACTGAAGCAAAGATCCCTTCAACCGCGCAAGCAAAGAGTCCTTCAGCAGCGCAAGAGGAGGCATGGCAGCCGAACATGTCGCTTCTAATCTATGGATAGCAAGCTCACAAGTGCAAATGGTATATTTGGTAGCTGTCGAGACAAGTTTGAGTTGTGAGCTTGTGATTTCCAGTAGAGATGGGCAGGTGGCCAGGCACTTGTCAAAGCAAATCCCATCCATGGCCAATGCAGGCCTGTTGAGCTTACTTGTGCTGAAGGCTTTTGCTCGGAGAAGCTCTGGTGGTGATTCAAACTGGACGTTCAAATGGGACGCTTGACGATGCGTTGATGCTGCGGGAAGGCATGCTTGAACCCACACATGTGCATGTGCATAATATATGAATAAAGTTTCATTTGTTCCGTATAAGTATATATCATATCACGCAAACGCTAATAGTATGAGTGTTGTGATTGGCTTCTTTCATGAGTGTGCTTCTGCAAGTGTCGCTTTTCACTAGCAACGCCAAGACTGCTTGGGCAGATCAGGGCCGACTCCCGACGCAGGAGCTAGTTAGACTCAGAAGGCGGACCGAGGAGCTGGAAGAAGGGCTGAGGCAGCGAGAGAAGGCCCAGTGAGGAAGGTCTTGTTCTGTTACTGGTTCAAATGGCATGTTCAGAGGCCCTTGCTTGCAGAAAGCGCGGGCTGCATTCTCGCGGTTGATCTTGCCTTTCGAACGTTTGCTTGGACAGGGGCAAGTGTGCCATCAGGAATCAGCATGATCTCATGCACCGACTGAACGGGTATCAGCCAGGATGCAATGTGATTGACAGTAGTTCTGAGCCAAGCAGCTGTGGCTTGAGTCCTTTCTGGTGAGTTCTACTTCTCTCTTATGCATGGTTCGCAGTGTCTGTTCTTGAAGAGCTGTTGCAGGGAACGGGAATGCCAGTTGTGAACCAATGACCGGTACGGATTTTGACGTCGAACGTAAGATCTGCTCCAGCTGCTTCACTCAGGAATAGGAGCTGTAGATGATCATAAGTTGCTGTCCAGAGCAGAGAGCGAGACTCATTTTCCTACATTTACTTGTCAGGAGTCCATTCTTTGCGTATACACTGTAGCAGTTTTCCAAATTTTGCTTGGCACACGCGCGTGCAGGTCATTGAGAGGCTCACTGGAAAGCTGCAGAAAGCGCGTGAGGAAGCTCGGGGCATTGGCAGACATAGCAGAGGGGACAGCAAGGACCCGGTGCTGTCGCGGTATCACGGATGGATCAGTAGAACTTGAGAGGAAAGCAAAGGGTGATGACTCGTGCGGGTTCCCCCCTGCTTGAAGGTCAAGAAACAACCAAATCAGAGAGGGGCATAGGATGTTGCGCACCGAAGATCTGTGGCAGTACGCGCTTAAGCCGGGGTTGTTTTGCTTGGTGATTGAGGCCAGCAGGTCGCACTTTGTCGGCAGGCGAGCAAAGCATCGTCAAGCAAGTCTTCAAGCCCCAGACAACCTCAGGACGGCTGTGCCTCACAGAGGGAGACCCGCCAACGGGTGCTTTCGTTCCAAGAATCGTTCGCGGATGCAAAGTCATGTTAGGGTGGCACAACAGCACTGCAGCACGAGTATTGGCAGCCAGGGCGACGTCGATGAATCACCAGATGTGTTGAAGCGAGAGAGTCTTGACCGCGGTTCACATTCGCAAATGCAGCCGAGAGGCACATTGCTTGGCTTCGCCTGTGACTGTTTCGTACACAGCATAAATCAAGAGGAAGGGCTCCCAAAGCGCAAGAATCTCGACTGAGGTTGATAGCGCACACAAATAGATAGAGAGAGAGGGAGAGAGGGAAAGTGGCGAGAGGAGTAGCGGAATATACATAGGCATCAGACATCAAGTTAGTAAACTAGAGTCCTTTGTCAACCCACACTAGTTTTCAGACGTGGCTGGATGAGAAGGTACCTTCCAGATGCCTTGATTGCCTAAGGATATCGCAGCTGAAAAAGCAGCTGCATGCCGCCTGGCAAGTTGTGTTTTGATGGGCTGAGGTCTTTGCTTTCAGACATGTGTTTTCCGCAGTTGTTGCCAGCGAATAGGCGCCAGGTCATTTCTACCATGGATCATGCAGCATGATTGCAGGTGCGCCACCATGTTGTTTTGATGCGGGTCTGATTTTGTTGGATAAGGAGAAGCAATATTCAGTGCAGAGGTTGGAGAATCAGCAGGAGAAGATCATCTCAGGCAGGCAGAACGACGGCAGTTGTTCAGGCTTGACTACCTTTATCCGCACAGTTACAACATGAAATTCATGTTGAGGACACTGCCATACGACAGCAAGGTTGCAACAATATATTAATATATATATATATATAGATATAATCGACTTCCTACCGCTCACTAATTTGGCTGCTGCTTGTTGAAGCTGTCTAGACGATTGCATTGAAGGATACACGGATTTTGTGCATGCCTTGCTGCAATCATCTGCGCTGCTTGGCTGCAGGTGGGTCTTTAGCTTGGTATTTGTCAGACGCGGACATGTGGATGCCATGGCTACTTGACGGTGATTCGAAAGCCAAGGTCGGAACAGCTGCAGAAGCACTGCAACCTGAAGACTGCAGAAATGCTTGGAAAGGGCGCTTACGGCTTTGCCGCTTGCGCTGAAGTTAAGCAGAGAACCCCTTGTAGATTATTCCGGGACAGAAGGATTGGCTTGGTCCATAATTCTGGCGGTATTGGTCAAACGTCCGGTGATGAGGTTTTGCAAATTAGCCCTAGGACATGTATCTTCTGCATGGGTAGCTATGAGCCGAAAATATCTTGCGCAAAGCGACTTAAGTTGTGCGAGGTCTCTTTGTTGAGCTGCAAGTACTCCGTCCTGCAAGATTGTGTGATTGTTTCTGGGTCCTTCAGAGGGAAGAAGGGTGATGATACTGGTGCGCCTAGCTGCTTGGGGAAACATGAATTCGTCACAGCTTCAACTAGGGCGGGGAGGGCAGGAACACTGTTGATGTAAACAAATAGGATGCTGGAGATGCTGGCACCCTATGACGATTTGCCCAAGCAACGCCGATATCATCAGCACTCGCGGTTGCCGAGCCTTCTTGAGGACTGCGTTGCTTGCCACCTTTGCAAGCGTTTGTGGAGCGGAACACATCTTGAAATATTGCGGCACCTCGTTCGATGCATACACGTCCATGGTACTTGGGGCTTTTATTTGACGAGAGAGCTCCAGGCTTTCAGAGTTCGCCCAACGTTTGCAATCTGCAGACACCTAGCCTGGATGTTATCAATTTATTGCACCTAGACCTGCTTTCCGTGATGAGAGCGCTGTGATTCCAGCCTTGCGTAGCAGTAAGGTGTTGGCGCAATTTACTCGCTTGCCTGTGCCTGGATGGCCATGTCTAAGGTAATGAAGTGTCAGGACAAGGAGCACCAAGAAGTGGTCCGACGCTTAGTGTCAGACAATTAGGTCTTTCTTGCGACATGCAGAAGGAGCGACTCATTACGATCCTATTGTTGCGTAAAGGGATTTATGTACCTCCTGTTTTCTGGCCTAAGTCAGACATATTGGGGATGTGGCAAACGGATCTCAAAACCGAGTCTTTCGCAGGTTGTGAAGCTACAGGGGCCGAGATGGGCGTCTGTGGCGGCGCAGGAGTGGGCCAATGGCGCCCCGGCCTTGTTTTTAAAACCGGAGATCGGCGAAGCGAGTTCTTCAAGTTCAGCATACAGTGCACCCCTTGTTCCTCTTCCAAAGCTGGCTTGTACAAACTTGCAGCTCGATTTCTACAAGCATGGATCAGGGATGTTGCTTCCTGCCAAGTGTTCCAATGATGTGACTCTTCTACACAATGATTGAATCCGCATGCAGCGATTGTGACTTTGATCGAATACAGTCATGATGGCTAGATGCTCCCGGAGATGTATACTTTCACAGGGGAATCGACAGCCTCCGTCGCTTTGGTGCTTGTTCTGTTCTTCCCACCAACGTTGGAGTACCATGCAGCCAGGCTCTGCGTGCAGCCACGAGAACATTGTCGCGCATCTTCAGGAGCGATCCCAAGACAGGGGATGAGTTTTTGGAAGTAAACCGTACAGCGAACTGCCTGCACCCCAGGCAGGACACGTACCAACAGCTTGTTTTACTCTGGGGCATCAAGCAACAATTCTGGAGAGCATCAGTCTGATACCCCGTGGAATTTGAATCAGGTTCTCATGCACTATGATGGGAGAGCCGAGCTGGAAGGCTGCTTGGCAGCATTCCCGAGATGCATCCTGTGTCAAGATGCTCCCTGGCAGGGCCACTTTCTCCCAGACCAGACATGGTTTAAGCTGGCAACAAGAAAAGACAGAACATCATGATGTTGAAATAGCGTAACTGGGCAGCTGAGTTACTACAGACTACAAAGACAGCTGCTGGACCACAGATGAGTGTTGAGTTTCATTTGATAGCTGTGGCAAGCAGGATATTAAGTGTATAAACATTAGATAGAAACAGATTAGATATGTATATATATATATATATATATAATATATATATATATATATACATATGACAACATACAACGGAGTCCCACAAGATCGTCATGCATGTTGAGGACTGAGCCTGCCCCTGAGTTCAGGCACGTTACATCCAGTATGAAGTGACCAGTTTCAGATTTATGTAGCAGGCTCCCGGCAAGCATAGGCCCCACTTCAACTCTTGGGTCCCTGAAGCATCCAATTGCTGGGCCTGCTTATGTGATGCATGCAGGGGCAGAATGGAGGCGGAATGAATCGAGAGCCTCTTGCTGAGGTAAAATCATGCAGGCTTTTGAAACCGGCACCTTCACTGGCAAGCAGCCGAAGCTGTTGCCAGACAGCCATGCACTCAGTTTCTGTGTGGTTCCACATGCTCTTCCTTCCGCAAGGAGATTGGCATTTAGTCAACGATTTGCTTGCTTAGTCGCGTACTCTTTTTTGTTGGTTGCTTGCAGATTGACTGATTAGGGGTTGAGTTTCTTGGTCCATTTTGTTTACAAGAAGGCGGGGTCGCCAGCATATTAGTCAGATTGCTTGGACTGGCCGGTTGGTCGGGTGGTCCCCTGCGGCTGGCTGGCCTATTGGTTGCTTGTTGGGTTGGTTTGCAATCCTATGGCGCATATACGGCCGCATGCATTCCCTCGTCAAAGGGGCTTGCAGATTCACGTGGACAAACTCCTCGGTGCAGACATCAAAAGCTGCCCGGGTCGATTCAAAGCTAGGCACGAACTGATCGTTACGGGCACTGCAAGGCCACGCTGACATTGAAAGCCCAAGGAAGGGTCAAACTCGTGAGCCGTGTCACACACACAGTCATTGGCCTGTATGCCACAGGTGACGTGATAGATACGTCAATGTTATAGGCTGCCGTGTTCTCTTGGCAATTTGCCTACTCCCAACGGGTGTGCTCCTGGAGCTTTCCGAGGATACATTTGCATGCTCATGGAGCATATGAACCGCGGGACTGTGCAGCACCTCTCCAAGGAAGACCTTATCAACCTGGAAGGTGGGGTGAGTGGAAGTGAGTGGAAGTGAGTGGAAGTGGCCGTCAGCTCTAAACACGTGCAGCCAATCTTCCTGTGCTGCCCCCAAACAAGTGCGATGCTGTCAGGCTTAGCTGCTGTCATCAGACAGGTGGCTTCGGCGCTTGCCTTCATGCACAAAGGCCCCTTGAATAGGAGTGGGCTAGGCTGGATTCCGTGGCAAAGCGGCAATCCAAGATGCAGCGCCCCTTCAAAGTCAAGTTTGTTTGGAAACAAATAAGACGTCAATTTCACAATAATCTAGATTTGTTCGAGAAAGCCAGCAGAATTATCCTGGGCGCTGTCATGGCGGCATCTTACAGCTATGAGTGGTCCAGGTAAAGGCGATAGCGATCGAAAGCGTTCGGCTTTGGTTTCCTGCTGCTGAATGGGGTCTGTAAGACTGGCCAGGCCAAGAGGGCCAAAACAAGTCTTACAGGTTGCCATTTGGCAGCTGCGCTTCGATTTGCAAGCCCAGGAAAACGGACGCACAACGATGTGAAACCGGAGAACATCCTGCTGACACCTGTTTGCACAGAGGCCCGAGCAACTGACACGGTTTCCTTCAGTTTTCGATGAATGAACCAGAGACCACATTTTTCTCCCATCGTCATAAGGAGACCCTTGTAGCCAGATTCTGTGCGAAGCCCAGCATGGCAACCCGCTGGAGCCGAGGAAGCAGCTGCCTGACAGTCCTCACCTCATCGCAGGGCCCCCGAGAACCGCCGCGCCGTGCTCAGAGACTTGCGGAGCCGGCGCAGCGCAAGGTGAAGCTGGCAGATTTCGGTTTGGCCCAGTGCTCCGTCGAGCGAGACCGGGATTTGGCGAACGCCTCAGCCAGTCTTTGGTGATTGGGGCAGAGCACAGGAAGAAAAAAGGGGTTGAGACCACGGGGTTGAGACCACTGTTTGCTTCTCGAGGGACTTTTCGGTTGAGTGACAATCACAGGTCTCGAATGTGTAAGGAGCTAAGCGCTTACACCTTCTGGTGCCTCGGGCTACGTGAGACGCAGCGCGCTTAGACGCTCAACCCTCATCGGTTTCACCGGGCATGCGCAATCTATCATGTTGCTGTGTGTCACAACCCCTGCAATTGGAGGGCTTTTGGTTTCCTCCGAAAACCCTCCAAAAACAACAGGCCTCTGATTTAACGTGATTGCCACTTTCTGGTGATTCGTGAGAAAGGGAGTCAGTTATCAACAGCCCCTCACTGTCGGCGGTGGCACTCCCGCACCCAGGTTTGAGCACATGCCCGCCAAAGCAGAACGACCTGGTGCCGTGGAGCGCTTCAAGCAGGAGGCCCTACCACAGGCACGTGACTACAGTGGTCTTGGCCTAGGAACATCTTAAAGCTGAGGACTTCGGACTCCAAATGTTGGGTTCACATTCGCGTACATTCGCGTACCGTGTGAATTGGTCTCACCGATTGGATCTCATTCCCGGGAGCCCTCGCTATGGCTGATGCTTGGCTGCGAGCCGGGGCTTGGTCTCGACGCCCAGCCCACCCTCCACATCCTTGACGCACCATTGACTCTCCACCTTTGAGAAGACGCCCTTGTAGCGCTGGCCGCCTGAGGGCCCTCCCGGCCATTTAGGCCACGAACACCGCCGCTCGCCAAGTTAAGGTCCATGCGAGGTGCCTGCCCAACAGTCGCTCAACACCCCAGGCGCCTCTTGAAGCCCGCCGATGTTCCATGGCTTTGCCGCTTCAGGCTCATTTTCGGAGTGCTGAGCTTTGTGGCGCTTGATCACGTGTTTCAGATGCACCATTGCTACCTTCAGGACCCTCCGAAGCTCCTGCACTGCTACCTTGAGGACCTTCTGAAGCTGATGCCCCGAGTTTGGCTCATGTCCCTTCAGCGCTTGCGAACTGAGAAGCCGGAGCTTCCTGTCACGCCTGCAGCGGTCTTTTCGCAAGTTGTCCACTGTGCCCCATCCGCCCTGTGAAAGTGGACCAGCTTCACTTCGCCAGATCAGGCGCTCAGTTCCAACTGAGCTCTTTCCCGGTTGCGGAATCCTCAAGGCTTTGAGGTCCTGCAAGGAGGGCCGACCTGAAGGTTATGCAAGCTGAAGCGGGATCCATTAGCCACATTGATGAACATCACGACGCTTTCTAGCACTCTACCGTCTTTCCAACAGTCATAACAGTGGATAGAAGGCTGATAAAAGTCAACCAGCCTCGAGAAAGGCCACTTGTCCGCTCGCATGACTGCTGTTTCCTTTGCCCTTCATGTAGTCCCAGCTCTTGGAGACATCTGGAAAGGAACAAGCATTCACCTTCTTACATCCCTGCGCCAAAACCCCAGTAGTTGCACTTGAGAAGGGGCTCAGGTTTTCTTCCTCAAACAGCTTCAGTTGACTCCATGCCGTTTCCGCGCTTGCAGTTGGAAGATGTGAGACCGCCCACAGCAGATGTCTTGTCTCCAACAAGGCTGCCAGCCCTCTGTATTGCTCCAAGGACCTAAGGTGACAAAGTTCGAAAAAAGATCGATCCTCCCCTTTTGTGTCTTCCGTGCTCGCGGGGAAGCGTGGCAAGAGTCCCCACCTTGAGCTGGAACTTGACCTGAATCAGCTCTGGTCGAGCCAGCCCACTCAAATATAGCCATCGAGGTCTCCCTCCAGTTGATCTGCTCCAAAGCTTGTTTTTTGTCCAACAGCTGCGGTCGCCTGTCTTCCTGAGGGTTTCTTAGGGTTGGCCCTTCCCAACAGTGCCTCTCCAGGCGGTGCGCTTGTCTCGTCTTTCCACGTCTTTCGGTCCCACCCACAGAGGTCGTTGAGGCCCGTCGGATCCCCTAGTTGCTTTTCAAGAAGTTGATGATGCCCTGATAAGCCTCTCCCAAGTCCTGCTGGGAATCCTTCACCATCATCGCTCTCCTGGCAGCATTTCTGGCAGGTTGTCGTCGCCCGCTGTGGCCTCATCAACTTGGATAGATGGCTTGGTGAGACCGTCCTCGTGCTAGATATCCTTCAGTCCTCCTTTGTCAGATAGGCCCGCCGCCTATCCGTCCACCACTCCACCTGCAGCATTTGTCTCCGTTGATCCATGACGGACAAGCTGAGTCAGCTGGGGCTCACAACGTAAGGATACGTAAAGATATGCATGTAGGCCGCAGTCAGCTTTGTCTTGCGCAGCTTTGTCACATGTTTGCCAGGACTCTCAAGCTCGTTTGCGAAAAGCCATCGGAGAGGCTGGGACACGCCGAAGCACTCGACCCCACTAGCTCTGGTTTGTGCATCAAAGTGAGGGCGGCTCCACGCCTGGATTTTCTGCTAATCGGCCAACATTGGGCAGCCGGGTTCGACATGAATTTAGAGAATGGGCCCATTTTGGGCTTGTTTTTTCTACGGATGTCACCTCCCATGGTGGGGTTGGCACCCCTCATTTTCTAAAGTTAGAAATTCGAGTTGGAAGACCCCATTTTCTAAAAGAGCGGCTATTTGGTTGCCAGCTGGTTGAAAGAGATGCCTTTTCTAAAAGACCCTCAAATGGCATAGAAGCGCTTTTGTCGTGCATCAAGACGAACTACAAATAATTATTTGCCGTTTGAGGGTCCAGGCCACTACAGGCCACTACAGTCCATCCAGTCTTGGGCTTGTCATCTCAGAATAATCTTGAGCGGAGACTCTTGAACCGAAATAGAAATTGATGTCCCCTTTTTTCACAAGGCTGCCGTTTTCGTTTTTTCATGGCGAGGTTGGACCCCCCAATTTTCTTTTATTGGGGGTCGGTCCAGTGCCACATCGGACCGAGGTTGGCGATGGGGTCGGCCCGCCGCTTTCTAATGAAAAATGCCGCCCCCCCCCCCGCCCCCGTTTTCTGCAGAAAATGGGGGTCTGGTGCCCCTAATTGGGCATTCCATTTATTGGGTACAAGGTCATCGCAGACCTTTGGACCTGCTCCACCAGCATGCAATGCGTGGCCACCATGGAGGACTGCTTCTGACCTTTGGCTACTGGGCTTCTGGGCTTCTACAGCTCAGCTCGTCTCAGGGTTCGATGGTTCCACGAGAAAAGTCCACTTACCCATGCAGGGTGCCCAGTCTGTAAGTGATGTCCAGCGACCCTGCAAGATTCAGCACGGACGTTTTGCAAAGTGGATCGAATGATGGACACATTGAACAAAGAGAAACTAGATGGCACAAACCTTCGATTCAACAAGTACTCGAACCTGCTGCCCCAAGAAGAAGCTGCTTGCCTGGGATGGGGACCCACTGGCAGGAGCTGAAGGATGCGGAGCTCAGCCTTCAGCAAGAAAGTCACCAGCCGGTCGCAGCCAACGCCGATCGAGCGGCCCAGCAAAACCGATGGATAGCAAACATCAACCTATCCTCAGGTCCTTGGGGGAGAGGGCATCCTGTCTGAGATGGATCCATCATAAAGATAGCGCTACGTCCACATAGCAAGTCGCAATGTTGGCAAGTTGTAATGGCCGGTAATCTTGTGGGCAACCAAACAGTCTCAGGCCAAAGTTGTCCCTTGGTTCTATCGACGCCAGCTTCCAGCTGCCCTGTGTGTGTGTGTTGCCCAGGAAGTGAGCCACAGGATGGAGAGGCAGGCGGTGCTCTGGAAGGCGGTGGACATGGTCACGATCGCGCGGAAGTGGAGTGAAGAAGTAGACTACCAAGGACCAGATGGCATTCGTCTTGTACTAATTGTGATGGCGGTTGCAGGCAAGCTTGTCCTCTGAACTGACATGCTAAATCAAGTGGGTTGATCCGCGATTGGTGTCGAATCTGATGCTCAGCATGACGGCACCAGAACACCCTCGTTAGTTGGTTCTATATTCAACCGGGCCGCCGCTGTTTATGGCCCGGGCATGTTCCACAGCCTCCTTTTGCAAGCGCAGACTCTGCCAGACCAAGTCCAAGGTAAATCGAAGGGCGGAGCCAAATGATACTAAAGAGATCAAGCTTGACGCTCTAAGGATTTCCCAAGACGCTACAATGTTAGTGGCAAGACATGATGGATAGGAGGCTGAGCAAATGAAGGCTACTGTCTCTTTGTTTGGAGACCGAAAGCGACATGTGGCACCCATGGATCGATTCGGGAAACGTGGCTGTAAAATGCAAACAAACTTCCGATGGCTGTGTGGCCAGCGTTAAGCCCTTGAATTCGAGCATCAAGGCATCGTAGCCGGGCTATTAGACGATTCGATCATGAGATGTTCGGGTCCCAGTCAAACACCTGGCGGAATCAGTGAACATGCGCACGACCCTATGGTAGAAGTGTAGCATGCTCCGATCAAGTGGCTTGTCTTCGATAGACCATGTTGTGTTTCACGATCTAGCCTCAAAGCGTTCTTGTTGATCCATCAGACTTGAAGGACGGAAGAAATGAACAATGGGCTTTGTATTTCTCATCAGACGGTGAATTCTTTGCAGATTAGGTGGTCGACAACCGGAAGGATCGAGGCGATACTGCAACGAAGTTTGCAGATCTTGACAGCATTGTGTCAGAAGTCAGTGCACCGCAGAACCCGCACCGACCAACCGAATTTGCAGCCGTAACATTCATGCATCGAAGAAGGCATTTTGTTGGGAGCGCGGAAACGGATGCAGAGTACACAAGGCTGGTACCCAAAAGTCCTGCAGGATGGCTATGATCGCTTCAGCTTGTCCGAGTTGGGCCCAGGTGTTGCGGGCTGCTGAGAGTCAAACTCCTCAGAAGCACTTGGAGGCCTTCGGGAACATCCCTCGGCCTTTGTGCAAGCCATTTTGAAGGTTTTCAAGGCATGGGACTCAGCCAAGCTGAGCTTCAGTTCACAGAGGCATTGCCGATTTGTCCGAAGAATCCCAGTGAATTTAGCGCATGCCCAGATGTCCTGCAAGGCCACAAAGCATCAGAGAGCCAGGCTGAGCACAAGAAAATGGGCGACATGCATTGGCATGCACAATGTGAAGATAAGAACCCGGGGTACGCATTCTGACTGTCAAACATTCTACTGCTCGCTCATTTGCAAGCACTCATTCAATTACCTTCATTGGTGACGATGCATCATTCTGCTGAGTACTCGTATCAGGCCGGTGCCTTTCTGATGAGCTCTTGCATGTGTCTGCTGTGACTTTGCAGCTTGGCCGCGGCTTCCAAGGTTCAGGTTTTGTAGATTCGGCCTTCGGCAATATCCTTGGCCTCTCATGGGGTGCGCTGCCAGCGTGCAAGTGCATGCAGCAGATCCGCAGACAGTGGACCTGGCACACCTCCACGATGTTTGCCCTGCACCTGGAGCTGAGGCAACGAAAGGGAAGCCATTGAAGACAGTCCGCAGATGCATGCGCATCAGCTCCTGCGACGTCAATAAGAAAGACCTGCACCACTTGTTCTGCGAGACAACGGAAACACATGATAGCCTCAGATGAGGTCTTGGCTGCCAGGATTCAGCACGAGAGCGTTTTCAGCACCCCTAATGAAATGCATGAACTTCCGGTGATATCTTCACTGGTATAGTGACAGATTGTGTGGTTGTCCACAGCCCATGTGCTTACAGCACCTTGGTTTTCAGCAAGTGCTCACGATTTTCGCGGTCATTGGCCAGCCTAGGTTTCATTTATGGCGTGTCAATTGTTTAGCGTTCAGGGCTATTGGTGTCCAGAGCTCCGCATGGGACATGTCAATCATGTCTTGGAGAAAAGGGTGCTGGGCTAGTTGTGCGGAGCCGCTGACACGATTTCGGGCAGTCCGCTGTTGATTGGGACGTGGGGCGCACATCCGAAGCTCCCAACTTTCGGGAAATCTGTAGTTTTAACGTAATGCCTGTGCACAGCACGGTGTCCAAAAAGTCCTACATCCATTGTTGTCTAGGACGATATGGTCAGCCTTTGCGCATTACCGAGGTTTTTCGCATGTGCAGCAGCTCAGATGACCTTGCAAACTCTTAGAAGCGCGTCTCTCCGACTGAATCTCGATTTTGCGATCTAGTATTGCAGGATTTCAAGATGATCTACGATGTGAACAATCTATTTGAGAAATGTTGCCTCCAACAAACCAGTGCTGCGAATAGTGCCAAACACCATGTTGCTTGCAGCACACCTACCACATGTGAGGCGACCACTCAGTGCATGAGCTATGCAGACGCTTGGATTAGATGCGCCGCTTTTTCTGGAGGGCGGTTCGGGTGTGCCAGAGATGGTGCAACAATATTCAATTTGACGACTGTTGGGTTCAAATAGCTTGGTAGAAATTCTGTTTCATGTCTCCCGTGCTGTTGAGCGGCGGAGTAAGGCAAGGCAGTTGCAGCCTTTAGAGGCAAGAATTAAGATAGCGAGCCGTCTTCCAATGGGTGGGTATGCATAGATGATGTGTTTGACATCTTCATATGATGATATGCATAGTTGGCTAACCTGCACAAGCCAGAAGCATATCAAGCATTCTATCCCCTCAACAGTGGTAAGAAGCGTGATTACCGAGATGCTGGCTGCTTTGGCAAAGGCGTCCATTCTAGTCCAGGAGTCTGCCAATCCTGATAGCCTTGCTTTGTAGCTCTGAGATTTCTCAGAGACTGGCAAGGCACAAGTCAGTCTCCGCCCTGGAAAGGATGCGGACTGCGAGAGTGCATTTTTGGTGTTGGATTGCCGCAGGCCTTTGCTTTGCTAGATACAGGCAGACAAACATGAAGCGCCACGTCTGAATGGTGCTTGAACTACTGCTAGGCGGCGGATGATTTCCAGACATATCCAGGCACACATGTAATGTCTTTGTTGGCCACCTCTCGACTGGCAAGACAGCTACGCGCTCGCACTGATGTTTGAGTTGTTTTACACAATGCCAGTTCTTCACACTGCATGCTTTGTGTGTGTGTGTGTTGACAATGCATCCCTCGATTCTAGAGTTACTGTAGTTCAGCATAATCAGTTGTCAGCTGCCTCACTGGCCATGGCATTTGATTGGCAGTCTGCTTCTGCAACTTGACGTTGGCATGATCCGCTCGTCCAGATGCAAACATTTTATCCACCGCTGAAATGCTCGCCGGACTCGCATGTCCCCCGCCGGGGCCATTCCAATCTGGTATCCCAAGCGGCAGCGGCGACAGCTGCGTCAGGGTCGGCTGCGTCCTACTGCTCTCCGCGTCTTTGGATGGGCGGAGGTGTGGGACAATCTGAGCGAGAGATACGACCCCCGCGCCCAGAGCGTTCTGAGCGCTCAGGCCGCTCTGAGCGGAAGGTGCTGGTTGGGGACAGCCTTGAAGTAACCTACCAAGAACGTTTGACCAGCTTTGGAGCAGAACAGGTGCAAGAACTGGTTGCATTGGTCGAAGCCAGGCACATGCAATTCAGCGCCCTGAGTTTATGCACAGCGTTGCACAGGTTGGCGTCGACGACCAGACAGCCAGACAGACTCAGATGCTCAGGCTTGCTGTCTACATTGGAGGCACAGCTGCGCTCGAGACCAGAGAAGTTTAGGGCACAAAGTATTGCCAATGCCTGCTGGGCAGCAGCGAAACTCCAGTGGACAGCAGATTTGCTGGATGCATTGTTGCAGGTTGCTGTGACAAGAATCGACGACTTTAAGTCACAGGAGCTTTCCCTTCTCCTGTGGAGTATGGCTTCGGCCAACGCAAGCCATGGGTCAGCTGCAGATGCGATCGCGCTTGAGTTTCTGCGGCGCGGCTGCCACTCCTTCGATGCACAGAGTACTGCGACAGTGGCATACTCTGCAGCTGCCTTGCTGATTGCAAATGAACCTTTATGGTCTGCCATTGGCATTGGCTCAGCGGATCGTGTCGCAGAATTCAGCGATCGACAACTGGCAAACCTGGTGTGGGGCTTTGCCACAGTGTTGCATATAGACTGTACCGTGGTATTCCAGCGAGTAGCACAAGAGGCCCCCGTCGCGCGGCTTGCGCCGATTGATTTGAGTTTGGTGGCCTGGGCAATGGCCAAGGTTTCTCAGGGAGAACAGACATTTTATGATCAAGTTGCCGACGCAGTTCTGGCCAAACATGCAGCATGGGCTCGTAGTGACACACGAAATATTGCCACCCTTCTCTACTCGCTAGCGCTTGCTGAGCAGGCTACAGGGCATGACGCAGCTTTCCGGGAGCTTGCTGCCGCAGTGTGTGCAAGGTCCAGTGAGTTCAGTGTACAGGGCCTTACAAATGCCGTGTGGGCCTATGCTACTGCTTGCTATGCAGAAGAAACGTGGTTCGCCCTGGCAGCAAGAGAGGTATGCGTCCGATGTGCAAGCGAGTTTGAGCCCCTGGACATCGCCAACAGCTTGTGGGCATTTGCAGCAGTTCTTCACAGGGACCCCGGCTTGATTCAAAGGTTGGCAGGGCTGGGGAAGGCGATGATTTGCCAGATGTCAGCGCAGAACCTATCGATCAGTGCCTGGGCATTGGCGGCGATGGAAACACGGGATGAGGCATTCTTCATGCAGGCTGCTGACCCTTTTGTGCTGCGGCTTGAAGAGTGCAAGGCACAAGAGCTGAACAACATGCTGTGGTCCTATGCCACAGTTTCAGTCCGTTTGCCTTGGCTTTTTCTGAAAGCTGCCAAGCATGCTGTCTCCTTGGGCCTGGCTGAGTTCAAGACACATGAGCTTTCCATCCTCCTCTGGGCACATGGAACAGCTGGGGTGTGCAATCACGGCTTCTTCGACGCTGTGGTGGATGAGATTCTGCATGGCAGAGGCATCGACAGCTGCGCGCCCAGGGAAATTGCAAACGCCGCCTGGGCGTACAGCACCATCATCGGGCGCTGCCACTCTCCGTGGATGGCTTCAGTGGCAGAATACTCCAGATGTCACATGCACGAGTTCGACACCCAAGGCATAGGCCAGGCTGAGCTGTGTTGAGCATGTTTGTTTTTCCGGATTTCAAGAAGCAATACACATTCAAGTGGTTAGTTCCAGAAACGTGCGTCCTTGTCGTGGCTACTCAAAGTGTGGCAGTAGGCTTTTGGGAGCAACTCCGAGAGGCAATGTTTTGTGGTCATTTGCCAACGTCACCGTCTACAGCGAGTCGTTGCTTCATGAAGCCTCCGAAGAGACAGCTCGGCGCTGCCAGGCTGGAGTTGAACCCCAGAATCTCGCGCAGGTGCTTAGTGCCATCAGTGCAGCGGCAAGCTTGGGACAGCCTGAAGTACATCTGTTTCAAGTTGCCATTGACCTCTTCATTGCCAGCCACGCCACTGGAGCCCGTGAGCTCCTGATTCTGGGCAATGCTGCTTTCCAAGCACGGGAGGAATTGCAAGAGAGATGGGTTCGGCTCCAAGGTGTTTTGGAGGCTCGTATTTTCCATCCCCTTGCCCATGCCCTGCGAGCGAGCCATGCTGATTGGTCAGGAATGGAAGCCTGCATCTCGCAGCTGGACGTTGATCATTTGGGAGCAGCCTTTACTGCTGAGTTCTTGACCCGCATCCAAGCTGTAGCCTCAGCAGAGGTGCACCAAAGAGAGACTAACAGCTCTCCCTGGGTCCTGGAAGCTATGCAGGCGTGTGCCCTGGAACGCGAGCGGGCAATTCAAAGGGGCAGGGACGATGCTGCGCCAGCAGACCAGCAAAAGCTGGTCCGTCAGTTGGATAAAGTCAACAAGAGGGAGATCGTCGCATGGGTGTCCTATGATGTCACAACCCCCAGAGGCCCCCTGCGTGAGATTGGTCAGGCGTTCAGCTGGCAATTGGAGTCAGTCGTCAAGCAAGGCAATGCTGCACAACTATTGAAGCCTGTGGTTACCCGGAGTCGCATTGCTCCCAATCTCACAGGCCAACATGATCGCAGTGGGCATGCAGAGCGGTGTGCTTTGCTTCAGGTTGCCTCTGACTGGTTGCAATGTGACTTGGAAGGCTCATCAGTTCAGGGCCAAGCCTTTCTGTATGTGACGCACTTTCCATGCATTTCATGCATGTGTATTATTGCTCAATTCGCTCGACACTTTCCAAAGATTCAATTACATTTGGCCTATTCAGATGGGCGGACAACAAATATTCAGAGATTGAAACAAGTGAATATTCAAGAACATGATTGCTAGTATTGAATGCATATATGAGTCCAATGATGTCTTGTGCTTCGCCGCTGCCTACATCTTCAGAAGTCGCTGCGGTCACTTCCTGCTTGCCAGAAATCCGCAGTCATCGGCTCCTGCCTCGATCGAGCTCCGCACTGCGTCGTATTGAGGCGTGAAGTTCCCATCATTTGCTCAGCGTTGGAGCCACATCAAGGGTTCCAACCGGAAGCATCCCGAAAGCCCGTCCAGTTCTCTACCCGGGGTTTTGCGGCTCGCAATCCGTTCCAAGTCCAAAGTGAGGCTCCATGTTGTCATCGATCAAGCACCATGCATCACCATGCAGTACTCAATCCCTACATATCCATGTGCCATGCAGGTGAGGAATCTTCAGATGTCCCTTCGCGATATCCCCTCCCCGACCGCAACTGAGACATCCCTGTCAGGAACCATTGATGTCATGAGATTTGCAGTAGACAAAGAAATGAGACTTGCATTCGATCCAACAATACCTGATAGAACCCACGAACCCGACTGCAATTATTAGCTTTGTGAGAGCGCTTAGAACTCATCACCTCTCCATCACGTCTCTGGTCGCGTCTCTCGTCAAGTTTTTCGTCATGCCTTGCGTCATATATTTCACCACGCACCTTGCCACATGTCTTGTCACCGGGTTTTATAGAAACGTGTCAGGTCATGTCTCTTGCAACGTCTCTCATCACGTTTCTCGCCACGCCCTTGCGTCATGTCTCTGGTGGCGACGTCTCTCGTCTCGTCTCACCTTGCGTCTCGGTCAGGTCTCTTGTTGCGCTTCTCGTCATGTCCCTCGTCGTCGCCTCTCACGTCCTGTCTCTCGTCACATAATTAACTCTGCTAGTCTCATGTCACATCTTTCGTCCTTCCGCTCTCGTCACGTCTCACATCACGTCTCTCCTCACGTCGTTTGGTCTGTCTTCCGTCGCGTCTCTTGCTACGTATTACTTTGCCTGTCTCTCGTCACGCTACACCGTACGTCATGTCTTCGCGTCGCGTCTCTCGCCGCATCTTGCGTCACGACCCTGGTCACGTGTCTCTTCATGTATCTTCGCACTCCTCTTGCAAGATATTACGTCGAACCACCTTTGTCTGTGCGTTTCTTGACAAGTCTATCGTCACGTCACTTGTCGCGTCTTGCGTCTCGCGAATCTCGCGTGACGTCCTTCGTCACGTCGTCTCACGATGCGTCTCTCGTCGCGTCACACGGCATGTCTCGCGCCGCATGCGCCGTCCCGTCTACCGTCATAACTCTCGTCTCGTATGTCGTCACGTCTCGCGTCACGTCTCTTGTGGCGTCTCACGCCACGTCTCTTGTTATATATCTCGACACCTCTCATGACGCGTCTCTCGTCATGTATCTCCTCGCGTCTCTTGTCACATCTCTGGCAACGTCTTTCGTCATGTCTCCCGTCACGTCTCTTGTCGCGGAATCCTCACGTCTAGCTTCGCAACATTGCTCGCGCATCTCGTCACGTCTCACGTCTCTCGTCACGCCTCGTCTCAGTATCTCGTGACATCATCGGTCACGTTTCTCGTCACGTCTTGCAACGCATTTCTCGTCACCTCTTAGTGTCTCGTCACATCTCTTCTTACTTGTTTTGCTTTTCCAGGGAAAAGCCAACAGGTGTGGGCATTCTCATTGCTGGCAACGGCTTGCCCAAAAGTTGATTGGCCAATTTCATCGCAGAATTCATCGCAAAACTCCTCATGCTTCTAAGTTTCGTGTTTACAATTCCTGCCTGACAGCTAGTTTCTGGTTCACTTGGTCAGGGCATCTCCAACTCCATCGAACCGTCCTGGAGGATGGTATTATGTATATATATATATATGTATGTATATATATATATGTATTTGTTGTAGGTAATGTATGTATGTATATATATATATAGGTATATGTGTATAAACATATATACCATCTAGCTTGATATGTTTGCATATTTGGATTATATATATATATATAATTATGTAGTCCATAGCATAAACCGCTCGACATGATCCTGGAATCGTATAACACCGACGACGGTGACGATGACGACACTGATTTCCTGCAAAAGGGCGCCATCCAAAACTGGCATTCCTTGCCTGTTTTAGAGCTCATACTTTACATTTGCACCTTTACCTTTTTTGATTTTGCCAGCTTCGATGCACTTGTGCACTCTCCCTTGGAAGCTCTGGCGGTGACAACACACCTCAACACTTCATGAACCATGAGTGTCCGTGAGCCAGATTGTTGGCCATTGTCCAACCCTTCGCATCATGGGATTCTTTGCGTTCCTTTCGCTTGTGGCGAAGGGTGCGCTTGGTAGGTACTCATCTTCACTCTGTGCAAGAGCGCATGATCAAGAAGACTGGCTGCTCATTTACACGTACTGACTTTGGAATAACTGACTTTAGGTCCTCCTGAGAAAGCAGCCGGGGGCCCTCCAAGTTCTAAGATGCCTGAGCTGTTGACAGATCGTGCTGATTGTCGTGAAAGTGACGTTCCTTTCAAGCAGCCGACAGTCCAGGAACTCCACACTGGGCAAACATTCGCATCACGGCAAAACAAGAATTGGTTTGCTGATTATGCCCAGGTGACCTACACCAAACATGGCACTGAGGAGCCCTCTGCCGTGGTGGCAGAATGGACGTATGCCCGGTCCTTCGCGGTTGAAAAAAGGGGCAGTTTTTGATCTTCATTGCGCTCCTTGCCTTTGACAGTTCACGCCTGGACCTGGACGATGGCTGTAAACGGAGCAGGTATGTCACGGGCTTTCAACCTCAGCTCAGCATGGACCTGCAGGTGAGCTTGGATGGCAAGGGGATCGGCAATCCCCCGTTGTCCACTCCCAGGTTCTGCGGCACGTGTCCAGCACAGCATATCGACTTCCAAATCTATTCCAGCAACCGGATGGCTTCTTTCTCTCTTTCTCTCTTTCTCTCTTTCTCTCTTTTTCTCTCTTTCTCTCTTTCTCTCTTTCTCTGTTTCTCTCTTTCTCTCTTTTTCTCTCTTTCTCTCTTTTTCTCTTTCTCTTTCTCTCTCTCTTTCTTCTTTCTCTCTCTCTCTCTCTTTCTCTCTTTCTCTCTTTCTCTCTCTCTCTCTCTTTCTCTCTTTCTCTCTTTCTCTCTTTCTCTCTTTCTCTCTTTCTCTCTTTCTCTCTTTCTCTCTTTCTCTCTCTCTCTCTCTTTCTCTCTTTCTGTCTCTCTCTCTCTTTCTCTCTTTCTCTCTTTCTCTCTTTCTCTCTTTCTCTCTTTCTCTCTTTCTCTCTTTCTCTCTTTCTCTCGTTTTCTCTTTCTCTTTCTCTCTCTCTCTTTCTCTCTTTCTCTCTCTCTCTCTCTTTCTTTATGTTTTTCTCTCTTTCTCTCTTTCTCCCTTCCTCTCTTTCTCTCTTTCTCTCTTTCTATCTCTCTCTTTCTTTCTTCTTGTTTTTTTTCTCTCTCTCTCTCTCTCTTCCGTTGTTTGTCTCTATCTCGTGTCTCTCTCTATCTCTTCCTCGTTAAAATTGGTCGATACTGTTACTACAAGTGCAAGTGCTGTAGTGTTTAAACAAACAAACAATCAATGTAGCCTGCAGCTGCCCACCTTTTGACTCATGCGATGTAGTGAGCTCAAGGCCTGCAGTAGTGAACATGCATGCAACACAAGTGCAAGAAGTGAAGCATGTAGTTTGACACGGCCCCTCAGTTAAAAGGTCTTTGTAGTACCTTTTCAACTGAAGTGCAAAGCATGGATTGGCAGTAGTGAGGAAAACCATTGTTGTTCATCAATGCTACTGAAGTGACAAAAAAAGTAGTAAGCTGCTCTCAGTAGCTCACGCTGTTCATGGTCCAGCACAAAGTAGTGCAGGTGCTGTGAGGCAGTTACTGGATGTAGTTGAGCTCTTTGCTCAAGAGTGTAGTGCCCAGTGCTGGGCGCGGTAGGCTTGCACCATCTGTAGTCGACTGTCCAAGGTTGCATAGTAGTGTGTTGTGAAAAAGGTGGTCACGCAGTTGGGGGCGCCTCGTAGCCTCTCATCGTCAATCTCAGGGCAGGTCATATGTTGGTCGTAGTCCCTGAGGAAACGATGTAGTTGTGTCTTGTGGTGTTGGGTGAGGTTGGTCATTGTTAGTAGTGTAAGCCCGTAGTATTGGATGCTTTTGCAGAGGATTGTAGTATGGCTTTGTGTTGGACGTTATGTAGTTGGTCGCGGTTGTAGAGGTAGTGGAGGTCCGGTAGTAGTAGTGGCATGTGGTAGTTCCAGATGTAGTTGTTCTTCAGGCTGTAGGTGTCGGTGAAGGTAGTCATGTCGTATTCCACCTTGTAGATGGTTTGTGCAGATGCATTTCTGCATCCGTAGGTCTGCTTTTGGAAGCTTCTTGTGTTGTGGTGGAAGATAAAGTAGTGTCTCGCCAAATTCGCAGATTGCTCGCTCGTAGTTTCTTCCCCAGCGGCGTTCAAAGCTGGTGTAGCCGTCTGAGTGGATGACGTAGCGATTTACCGTCCATGCTGCATGTCGTCAAGGTAGTAGACAGTGCTTCGTGGACATTGTGCGGTGTAGTCATTTAAGACTTCCTTGATTGCTGCTGCTGTAGGAGGCCGCGTGCCTAATAGTCATTGAGCCGACTTTTGCTGCTGTAGCTTTGAGAAGTGGTGCGTTGAATGTGTCTTCGTTGTCGTTATGCCTTGTGTTGTGTTCTCCCGCGCTCAAAGATGAATGCTTGTAGGTTGTTGGTCCATCATTGATGGTTTGTCCGGGACCATTACTGCCATACACAGTTGTGTAGTAACATCAACTGCTGTCAGTACTGGTATGGTCTTTGGGTCTTGTTATGATTTGATGTAGGCGATGTCGTAGACAGGAATCTTCTTGTTGGTAACCGTGTAGAGTTGTGGAACTGATTCTCCACAAGGTCGTAGTGGTAGATCTGGCGCGTAGTCCCGGGGAAGCATGTGTAGATGCTCCTGAGTCGATCAGCAGGTGATGGTATGATTTGAAGTTGGAGTACATGATGTAGTGTGTGATAGTGTCCTTAATTTCTTTGTTCCTTTGCTGTTGTGTTGCTGCTGCTATGTCGAAGTGTAGCTGTGTGGTGTCTTCTTGGAGGAAGTGTTGCAAGCTCTTGCTGTGGTCGTTCCATGATGTCGTGTGCGTTGTTTTCTTGCTAAGTAGTGATTTGGATTTGTACTTGTGTAGTAGTGACTTTGCTTGCCTGATATATCTAACGGTGAGGTGTGACTCGTTGATGCCTCCAATGTAGTTTAGCTGTTGTCATAGTCGTAGTTGTTCCAGTTCTCTTCTATAAAATTTACCTCTTGTTATCTTTCTTCTTTTTCGTAGTACTAATCCTAGGTGTTATTTATACCTTGAGGTAGTTTGTTGTTCTGGTTTGCTTGTTTTTGGTTTGGCGGTTGTAATTCTTCTCTTTCTCCTATGTGTTATGCCGGCGCTCTGTAGTCTTGTGCCTAATATAAAGGAAATTTGGAATTCATATATATTTTTTTAAATTAAGATATATATTATTATATATTATAATATATAATATTATTTATGTATATTAATTATATTTTAATTTATATAAATTATATTTGAATATTAATTTGTAATTATTTATATGTAATTTAGAATTTGGATTATTTAATATTTTATAAATTTATTGAATTATGAAATTATTTATGATAATTTGAAATATAATTCGAGATAGATGATTATTTATACGAATAATAATTTTGTTAATTTATATTTAATATTAAAAAAAACATATTTTATATATATATATATATGGTTTTTTTTAAATAATAAATTTAATATATATTTGGATATATTTTTGTATAAGGTTTTGGCTTTATATTAAATTGGAAGAATAAATAATATTATATGAATTGTATAGAAAGGTTTATAATATAAAACACGTTAGCTTAAAATTGTAGCTTTTATAATAGGTGATAGGGTTTGTTATTTGAATCTTTTTTAATATACATTTTTATATACAAAATCTCTTTTTTAAATTAATATTTTTTTAAATGAAGAAAAATAACAAATTTTGGTAATAATTATAATTCTTATTGGATATAGATTTATTATTTATCGGAATTATTATAAATATTTTTTTTTTTGTTTGATATTATTAATTTAATATATATATATATTCTAAATATAGGATTGATTAAAAATCCAATTTATTAAAATTCATAATTCTTAACTATAATTATATTGTATTATGATATGAATAATTTTACAGACATTTTATATATTTGTATTTGTTTTTTGCTTAAAGAATTAATTATAAATACGAATTTACTTAATACATTAATTTTCTATTCGATTAGTAATTTCGATAATCTTATTTTCGATCCCAAATTTATTTTTTATTGTTTTAATACGATTTTCATATTATTAATACTTAATTATAAATAATATATATTATTACATACCTTATATAATGAGATTATCCTAATAATTAATTTGCTTAAAACGATTTATCTATACCACAAAATAATTCATTCTATATTTATTCAGATTTATAATATATTAAACATTATATAAATTCCATTAGGTTTATAAAATGTAGTTTTGTAATTATAATTTTGAATTATTTCGTTTTCGAATTTCGAATTTCGAATTATATTAATTATTTAAATTATAATAATAATTCCTATCTATATAAATTACCGATTATTCAATAACTAAATTGCATAATCATCCAAAAACAACGATTATTAATATTAAATTCCAATAAACAAAATATTATACTATATATATTTTTAAAAATCCTTAAACTAATATAATTTAAATACATGTATATATTACCATACAAATATTATATATATATATATAAATTATGCTAAATATATTATTTTATAAATTTATAAATAATATAAATATATATTCCATTCATAAATATACCATAAATATCGGCTTGCAAGCAATATAAGCATTCATAAGCATAATATACAACCACGAATATTATAAACATCGAACAAATATTAATAAAACATAGTATTTGTATAATTAACAATTATAAATTTAACAATCTTATTACAAAAAAATAATATTTCATCATAATAACAATTCATTCATAAATAAAATATAAAGAAAAAATAATCAAATATATTTATATATATTAATCATTTATAATAAAATTAAATTAAACCAAATATTCATACTCAAAACATTCATAATACACAAATATAAAATATAGTTTCATAAATACATGTTTTAGATATAAATAATTATTCTTGTTTTTCAAATAATATCTTATATATATATATATATTTATATATATATATAAACTATATAATAATATAAATATATATATATTATAATATTTAATGTGTTTTTTAATATTTTCCAACAATATACAAAATAAAATCCATACTAAATAAATAACAAAATCAAAACATGCAATAAAAGCACAGACATAGACAAACACAAACAAACAAACACCAACAAGCAAACAGACAGACACAAACAGACGCAGACAGACAGAAAGAAACAGACAGACAGACAGACAGACAGACAGACAGACAGACAGACAGACAGACAGACAGACAGACAGACAGAAACAGACAGACAGAAACAGACAGACAGAAACAGACAGACAGAAACAGACAGACAGAAACAGACAGACAGAAACAGACAGACAGAAACAGACAGACAGAAACAGACAGACAGAAACAGACAGACAGAAACAGACAGAAACAGACAGACAGACAGACAGACAGACAGACAGACAGACACAGACAGAAACAGACAGACAGACAGACAGACAGACAGACAGACAGACAGACAGACAGACAGACAGACAGACAGACAGACAGACAGACAGACAGACAGACACAGACAGACACAGACAGACACAGACACACACAGACAGACACAGACAGACACAGACAGACACAGACAGACACAGACAGACACAGACAGGCACAGACAGACACAGACAGACACAGACAGACACAGACAGACAGACACAGACAGACACAGACAGACACAGGCAGACACAGACAGACACAGACAGACACAGACAGACAGACAGACAGACAGACAGACAGACAGACAGACAGACAGACAGACAGACAGACAGACAGACAGACAGACAGACAGACAGACAGACAGACAGACAGACAGACAGACAGACAGACAGACAGACAGACAGACAGACAGACAGAGATAGACACAGAAACAGATACCAGAAACAGAGAGACCAACAGACAAAGAGAGACAGAGACAGACACCGACAGAGAAACAGAGACAGACACCGACAGAGAGACAGAGACAAATAGAGACACACCTCCGGCGCGCAGAGCGCCGGATTCTGATGTCGACATGCCACAGGCTTCGCCTGCGCACGTGCATGCGTCCGACTCCGAGCCCGAGAGCCGTGATGCAGACGGACTGCAAGCACGCGCGCGCAAGCTCTCGGCTGCGCGCGCCCCAGTTGCACACTCCCCTGGCGCCCTCGCCCAGTGGAACGAGCCAGTGGGAAGCGGTTTGTCACGCGCTTGTCTCGGCACTGCCCCACCGCTCTCCTTGCCCTCCGCGACGGCTGTGTTCTGGCCAGTGACCAGGAAGTGATTGCAGGTGTTCGGCGGCCCTCTTTGGACTAGGCACCCCGGGTTGCTACCGGCCCGGTTTGGATTGGTAATTTGGATCGGTGTTTTGGAGATTCGGGGGAGGTTTCCCATTCAATTTCAACACAATCCAGGGGTTCGATCCCATACCACCAATCCAAACCAACAATTAAGGGTAAGTTGAGGCGGGTGGCAAAAACGGGGGCCAAGCTCTTAGGGGCCAAGGTCCAGGCCGTAGTGGGTGTGCCAAGAACAAAGCAAATCTTATAGAATCAATATATTTTAGAAATATTCGGAATTTTTGGAAAGATGGTTCGGGCTTTGAACGAAGTCGTTGCGTTTTTTAGATGAAGAGTCGGGATATATATATTTGTTTGTTCGTAATAATTTTGGTTAAAATCAAATTTTTGTCTATTTTCCGAGAGTTTAGCGAATACAAGAAATAATTAGTTGCGGCCGATTGTTATAACTAATAATGGTTTTCCTAATGCGTTAAACGAAATTAATTCGGTTTTACTTACACCCAAGATATTTTCTAATCGATCGCCTTTTCGCTTGTATTTATAATAATTATATATAAATAAATCTATACCCGTAGATCCGTTCTCACCTTGTTTAGGCGATCACCTTTCACTAATTCTTTACTATAACCTTATCGCGACCAACCCGGCCCTTAATACGTCTCACAACCTGTATTTCGAGAACGGTAACATACTTTTTGCATACAACAAGTATAATAATATTTCCCGAAATATTTCAACAAAATAATTTCCAAAATATTCGGAATATTTCGATTATATAACAAGTATCTACAATTTTCCTCGAAATATCTAAAATATATCGAGAAATTAATTCCTACCAAAAATAATACCTAAACAAATTTAAATAAACAAGCCATAAAAAATAAAATAATTATATCTTCCAAAAACAATTCAAATCAATTTTTCATTTTTTTTTATTAATTTTATCCATATATATCTTAATTATATTAAAAATTTAATATATTTTATATCATCATTAACACAATATAAATATATATATATATATTACAAATAAATCATTAATCATTACATATTTTATGTTTATCAAAGTATTTAATCAAATTAAACATATATTCCCTAATATCTAAAAATATCAAACACCTCAATTTATTTATATATTTAAATCTATCCTATCTATACATTCATTAATCATTTCAATATTTCTATATAATCAATCAAATTAGATATAACCACCAACCTATCTATCTACCTCTCTCTACCTACCTATCCAACTCTATCTACAAATTTATTCAATCTACCGCACTTATCAATGTTTTGATCGAACTATTCTTGCCTATCTACAACTTTATATACATTCAACGTAGCAAATACACCATTTACTGATTGACATCATTGCTTCAAACTGCAAACATTTATCGACTCACTACGGGAAGAATTCCTCAATGGAGACGCTCTCGCTCTCTCTCGCATGAGTGAATGCGTGCGGGCGTTTGTGTGTGGGTGCGTGTGTGTGGATCATCCTAGTTCACGGGTGAAAGGCGTCACTGCCTTACCGGCAAGTTGTACTACCAGGGGGACCATCCATTTGCTGTGTGCGATGTCCAACGAAGCGGCCACAGCAAATGCGGATATCGAGACTGATCGTCTCGACGTACCTGATTTCCGGTGGAGAGCCAAAGCGTTATGCTATTGTTTCTCAAGACCCACTGGCTCATGGATGTTCGTGGTTTTCTGTGTCTGTTGCTTGCCGAGTTACAAGTGCTGAGGCCTTGCGACTTTCCTTCATTCCAAAGCGTGTTTCGCTTGGCTTTCCGAGACGGCGCCGACTTAGACGGGTCACAATACCCGGCTCCTCACTGAGGAGAACATTCTCGTTCAGGGCGCCTGTTGCTCCCAACAAACAATGTTTTTTTCAGGTTTGGTTGATGTTCCTGCTGCGTTGCCTTCCCCCTCAGTCGGGCTCAATAGCAAGTCAAGTGATTTGCGAATGTGAATCTCGACACCATGCAATCCCGACATCATCCGCGAGTGGAACGGGTGATCACTTCGTACACCTTTCCTGCAGCCAACCCGACAGCTGACTTTGGATTGCAACAGCGTTCAGGGCCTCCGACGCCCTACATGCCGGCAAGCGCACGGCTTGGACTTTCACATCGGAATCCTTATCTTCGTCAGCGACTGGCTTTGGCGTCCACAACTCAACAATACATCCCGTGACAGCCAACCTCTCACACACACACACACCATCCCTCCTTCCTTCTCGCCACCGCCACTCCAATCACTTGCCACTCCACCTGCTGCCGCTCCACCACACCAACCACTTCAGCCCATTCACACGCCTGCCCAACCTGCGCCTCCACCGCCACGACAACCGCACCGCATCCTGGTGAGGCGAGAAACCCGTCTATTTCACGAAGTCACTCTTTGCCAAGACATCGCCGTTCATCAAGAAATCGCCGGGGCACCAGTGATCCTACGTCCCGCGCCGCATCCAGACGGGTCGGCGGTTTGGGGTTCCTGCCTCCTTTTGCCGGACATCTGGTAAAACTCTGTGCTTGGACGTCCTAATTGCGAAAACGCTGGAAAATCCCGTTTTTTGCGGGAAATATTGGGGAGCAAAGGGGAGATGCAAGGAAAGGGGAGATGCAAGGAAGTGCAAGGAAATGAGGGAAGGAAATAGGAAGTCGACATGACAGGAAAGCAGCGGGAAATGAAAGGGAAACAAAGACAACCTGAAAGGGACATCCGAGGGACAGAAATGAAAACAAGGGGAGTGCAGGGGGAATGAAAGGGAAACAAAGCACAAGGAAACCAATCGGCGCGACACAAAATGTAGGGAAATGACTCGCAACAAAAGAACGGGACATACATGGAAAATGAAGCGGACATACCGGGGGAGTTGAAAGGCATGGAAGGGACATGACCAGGACATCATGTAAAACGTGAAACGGACATGAAGGGGAAATCAAGAGGAAAGCTAGTAGTGAGATGACAGTTCAGGGTCATGAAGGGGCAGTGCCCGGACATCGAGGCAACTCAGGGGGGGCGTGACGCTGCAATGCAGAGAGAGAGACAGAGCGAGAGAGAGAGAGAGAGAGAGAGAGAGAGAGAGAGAGAGAGAGAGAGAGAGAGAGAGAGAGAGAGAGAGAGAGAGAGAGAGAGAGACAGGGAGAGAGCGGGAGAGAGAGAGGGGGAGAGAGGGGGAGAGAGGGGGAGAGAGAGCGAGAGAGAGAGCCAGAGACAGAGCCAAACAGAGAAAGAGACAGACAGAGACAGAGAGAGAGAGAGAAAGAGCGAGAAAGTGAGAGATTAGAGAGGTTCGAATTAGGGTACCCTTTTTCTGTAGAGGGATTGAGAGAGAGGCTTGGGGGGATGGGGAGGATGGGGAGCAGAGGGAGGAAGAGAGGACGACAGAACACACGAGGAAGACAAGGGAGAGAGGAAGAAGGAGAAAAGGGAGAGGACAACGTCGGCGGACTGAGCCGGAGGCTTTAAAGTTCTCAAGACCCACTAGCTCAGCTCATGGATGTTCGTGGTTTTCCGTGTCTGTTGATTGCCGAATTGCAAGCGCTGAGACCTTTGCGACTTTCTTTCGTTCCAAAGTGTGTGTGTGTGTGTGTGCGTGTGTTTGTGTGTGTGCGTGTCTCTTTGTCAGCGCCACCTCCGTTCCAAGCAGCTCCAGGTTTAAGCAGGGGTGTCAGCCTCACCGTAGCTACAGTACCTGAGGCAGCGAAAACGTTTACCTGCTTGACAGATTTCCAGCATGAGACTGATGCCTAGAAGACGCTGGTTGGCTTGGGACCGCGGGCAAAGCTACTCAAGCCTTGTCTTTTGCTTTCCTTTCTTTTGCTTTTTGTTCGTTGCGCTGTTTGACCTGTTTGAGGTCTTGGCTCTTCTCGTCCGCAAACCCTTACAAAATGCTGGCTGGGCAACTTGTGTGCATGCGCGCGTGTGTCTGCTTGGATATAATACGTGTATCTCTATGTGTTTGTGAGCCAGCGTCAATATTTGCTGCGTGGGTGTTATTCATTCTACTTTTAATGAGTCCCCTATCGTTCTCCACGTTTCGCGCGTGCGTGCAGTGCCCGATGAACCCTCTGCAGGGATCGCGCGCCTCGAAGCGCTCTCGCTGTGGCGCCGTGCGAATGCGTAAAGTGCCCAACCAACCCTCTGCGAGGATTGCGCGTGTCAAAGCGCCCTCGCTGTGACGCCGTGCGAAGTTGAAAAGTGCCCGACGAACCCTCTGCAGGGATCCTGCGTGCCCAAGCGCTCGCGCTGTGACGCACATTGTGCGTGGGGGGATCTGCGCGGTGTGTGTGCGTGTTGCTTGCTCTCCCTCTTGCTCTCTCTCCCTCTCTCGCTCTCCTCCTTCTGTAGCTACGGACAAATCAGAATGGCCGGCGGAAAAGGATCTGAAGCTTTTTTGAAAGGGCAGCAATACCTTACCCGTACTCACTTGCAACCATGTGGCAGCTTCTTCGTCGTCTGTGTCGGCAGCGGCAATGTCAAACCTTGTGTTGCAGCTCTTGTTGGACATGTATCCTCGCAACCCAAGAGATGTCAACCATTGAGATGCAGGGCAACTGACGCTCAGGCACATTGTGTAAGATCCAGGCTGCTGTGGCCCCGTTGAGGTGTCAACCACCTTTGGGTCAAAAGAGCTTCTCAGCTTGGCTTGCGGCAAGCTCAATATCCATAGATTTCTAGATGATAGAGAGTGCTTATAGCACTGCCTTAGCTGACGAGAGTTGACCAAAATCATGTAATTGTCATCTACATTTATCTGATGGAAATATGAGAGCTCTCGCCATTTGCGCAACCACCAGGTGCCTTCAGATTGTCGCTGTTTTCATCTCGCCTTGCAAAGGAGCAAGCACGGCCGTGGACCCATGATAAATTTCAACTTTGAAGCAAGGCTATGTTCGTTTGTATTTGGCACGATATGTTGGCTCGACCCGTACTAATTGCCCTCCAATGAGTTTCATCTCTGACAATGGTTATCTTGTGTGGCAATCCTGCAGCGGCAGCCACAACCAGGGTCAACCCCTTGACTGTGCAGCAATGCTTGGGCCCCTAGAGACTTTCCTGCTTGAACGACAGGTGCCGCCCCTGATCAATTCTTCCTGGTCAGGCCTTGGTCTCTCTTCAGGATCTTCTTCTTGGATTGATGGGTTCACCTTGTCCTTCAGTGTGGGGTCAACCTCGCGCAGGTCTGGATCAGGGCTGCTTAAATAACAAATGCGCAGCTTCCTGTCAATCTATTTGCCGTGCAATCTCAGGCTGCTAAACCTGAGTTTGACGCTGGATGGTTTTCCTCCTTGGGAGACTGCTTGTCGGAGGGTGCCTCTCTGTCTGCGCACTCAGCCTGACAGTGTGCTTGAAGTCTAATGAGTTCTCCGTTTGCGGCAATGGCCTCTGGCTCCTTCGAGTTTTCGCCTTGGACACTTCGCAAGCACCCGAAACGGAAACACGAAGCGGGATGTTCAAAAGAAGGAGCTCTAACTGGCAAACTTATCAGTACTTGTTGGAGCCCTTGGCTACTTCTGCATAAGCTCCAACAAACTTTCTCACAGCCTGACAGGTGCGAGTCAATCAATGTGTACGGAAAAGATACTAATATCTTGAGGGGATCG